GTTCTAGAACACCTGAAATGGTTAAATAATGTATTTACAGACTGACAACATACCCACACACTGTGACTGCACCACACATGTCAGACACCCATACTGTGTTACTGCCACACTCCACTGGCCAACATAGCTGGAGGAGGGCTAACACCCAATAGACGAGGTTTCCATATCCACCATTACTGCGGTGGGGGGGGGGTCTCTGACAATAATACATAGCTTATTGGCCCAGCAGTTATAGTGAGTTTCTCACAATAATAAAGTGGCAGCAATCCACAGACAGTCGTAGTGACGGTGCACAGCAGCAGTTCGAGCTCCTCTTACCTGTCAGAGCTCCGCGGGGGCGTCACAACGTCCACAGTGAGACTGGGGAAGCGACGGGGTAGCGGAGCCAGAGCACGTCACGTGATTGGTAGCTTCCTGCAATAACGGTGACTGGACGTTACAGTGGCTCTAACCAGCATGGGGAGCCAAACAGAGCACCAATGTCTCATAGGGTATGGTTAATGTGGATGCTGGTCCTGATTACCTGTATGGGGCCACAGTTACCCACCTTCAGAGGGATTATCCTTACAGTATGGTGCATTAACGGACAGCTCCCCCTATTGGTTATCTTAGTTATCACCACTGGCCACTGAGGGGCAGATTAACTAAATATTGCTAACAAAAGTGGTTTTAAGGTAACAAAATAAAATAGAAAAATAATTGTTTTCCTTTTTTCTTCAACCAACAACAAGTTGGAATGAAGGCTATGGAAATTAGGTCAGGATGGTGGTACCAGCTCCACCAAATATGGGCTTGAACCCAAATATTGTATATAAAAAACACAGAAATAGACTAAATAGGAAGAATAACCCCCTAGGGGGCCCTCCTATTCAACATCTATATTTGGAAAAATATATAAAGTGTAAGCAATAGAAACTCCAGCTTCTCTGGTATCATGTAACTAAGTATATTGAGTCAACAATAATATATACAAACTTTATTGGACTTGTGCTACACAGAGGATAATATAGTATATATTCTATTGCTTACACTTTATATATTTTTCCAAAGAAGCTTATAGGTATTTAGTGTTAATGGTGTACACATTTCCAATACCAGCTATTAGGAGGGCCCCCTAGGGGGTTATTCTTCCTATTTAGTCTATTTCTGTGTTTTTTATAAACAAAAAATAAAAACCTCAATAAAAAGTACAAAAGCAGAAAGATAATCAGATAAGAACGGATCAATGGACCAGGAGTTAATACGTTAAATACATATAAATACTAAAATAGCAGGAGCATATAAACCCACTGATAAAAGTACCCAGTAAATATATATATATATGTAGAATGAAGACTCTTTAGTATAAAAGGACACCCTTACATAAAAAGCTTGTAAACATGAATAGACACTTCCTAAAATGAGGTCTCATAACACAATCCTTATATATGAATAAAAAAAATGTCCTTGTAACAAAAAAACACTGGTAGACTGTAGCAGAGGTGCAAGATATAATTGTATATAAATTGTAGATACAGAAGGAGCATGCTATCCTTAAATAAAATTGTACCTACAAACATTCACATAGGGTACACTAAGGTTTCCAAGGGAAAAAAATCACTTTGAATTACAGAGGAGTAGGAAGTGAATTTAGGACAGGAGTTTGAAGTGAGACTTCAAATGCATGATCTAAACACAAAAACAGCTTCATTAAGCTAATGTTGTTTTGGTGACTATAGTGTCCATTTAAGTGTCTTTGACCATTCTAAATGTTGGGAGGTAGAGTCTCATCTTGACTATTTTTCGCCAATTCTGATGTAATTTTGTAATATTGGTATATAACAATGGTTAAAACCCTGTTGTTTTCAGGAGATGTAGCTGAACACATATTGGGGTGTTCATAGTCAGTAACACATAACAGGAACTGAGAATCCATGCCTAAAGTACAATGTGAGAGAAAAATAACTACCCAAAAGTTTGACAAAGACTGGTAGTAGAACTAGTGCATGAAAAGTGTTAAAATACCACCTTTTGAAATACCCTAGGGTGTCTACTTTTCAAAAATATATGGTCTGATGGGGGTAAATTACATTGGCCGATTCAAAAATGTCCCAAATAGGACATGGGTGCATGATGACCAGCTGTGAAAATTCCAAGTTGGAAAACTGGAATTCGCACCCTCCAAATAAGGTCTTTTAGCCCCCAGAGAACCTGACACACTTATACATGGGGGGTATCACTGTACTCAGGAGATGTTGCTGAGCATATATTGGGGTGTTCTTTGGCAGTAACCCTTAAAGTTCTCAGTACATGTATTCTTAAATTGCTATGTGTATATAAAAGAACACCAATTATTATTATTTTTTCAATTTGGCATAGATTGGTGGTAAAATGGTTGCATGAAAAGAGTCAAAATACCCCAAGTTTAATACCTTAGGTTGTCTTCTTTTAAAAAATATTTACATGTAAAGGGTTATTCAGGGATTCCTGACAGATATCAGTGTTACAATGTACAAAGTGCTACTTGTATTTATTGCCCTATAACTTTCCCCAAAAAATGTTAACATTGGGTATTTCTAAACTCAGGACAAAATTTAGAAACTATTTAATAAGGGTTTTTTTTGGCTGTTGTACATGCGTAACAGATTTTGGGGGTCAAAGTTAGAAAAAGTGTGTTTTTTACAAATGTTTCATCATATTTTATAATGTTTTTATAGTAAATTATATGATATGCTGAAAATAATGGTATCTTTAGAAAGACCATTTAATGGCGAGAAAAGCTGTATATAATATGTGTGGGTACAGTAAATGAGTAAGAGAAAAATTACAGCTAAACACAAAAAACGCAGAAATGTAAAAACAGTCCTGGTCCTTAACGGTAAGAAAATTGAAAAACGTTCTGGTCCAGAACCCAAGTATCTGTAATCACTGACAATGTTTGTAACCAAAGGACACGTTTGCTATCTCAGCTTGTTGAAGAATCCCAGCCAATTGTATACAGTTGCAAGAAAAAGTATGTGAACCCTTTGGAATGATATGGATTTCTGCACAAATTGGTCATAAAATGTGATGTGATCATCATTTAAGTCACAACAATAGACAATCACAGTCTGCTTAAACCAATAACACACAAAGAATTAAATGTTGCAATGTTTTTATTGAACACACCATGTAAACATTCACAGTGCAGGTGGAAAAAGTATGTGAACTCTTGGATTTAATAACTGGTTGAACCTCCTTTGGTAGCAATAACTTCAACCAAATGTTTCCTGTAGTTGCAGATCAGACGTGCACAACGGTAGGAGTAATTCTTGACCATTCCTCTTTACAGAACTGTTTCAGTTCAGCAATATTCTTGGGATGTCTGGTGTGAATCGCTTTCTTGAGGTCATGCCACAGCATCTCAATCGGGTTGAGGTCAGGACTCTGACTGGGCCACTTCAGAAGGCGTATTCTCTTGTGTTTAAGCCATTCTGTTGTTCATTTACTTCCTTGCTTTGGGTCATTGTCCTGTTGCAACACCCATCTTCTGTTGAGCTTCAGCTGGTAGACAGATGGCCTTAAGTTCTCCTGCAAAATGTCTTGATAAACTTGGGAATTCATTTTTCCTTCGATGATAGCAATCCATGTAGGCCCTGATGCAGCAAAGCAGCCCCAAACCATGATTCCCCCACCACCATACTTCACAGTTGGGATGAGGTTTTGATGTTGGTGTGCTGTGCCTTTTGTTCGCCACACATAGTGTTGTGTGTTTCTTCCAAACAACTCAACTTTGGTTTCATCTATCCACAGAATATTTTGCCAGTGCTGCTGTGGAACATCCAGGTGCTCTTGTGCAAACTGAAAACGTGTAGCAATGTTTTGTTTGGACAGAAGTGGCTTCCTCTGTGGTATCCTCCCATGAAATCCATTCTTGTTTAGTGTTTTACGTATTGTAGATTCGCTAACAGGGATGTTAGCATTTGCCAGTGACTTTTGTAAGTCTTTCTTCACCTCATTCAGCAGTCTGTGCTGTGTTCTTGCAGTCATCTTTACAGGATGGCCACTCCTAGGGAGAGTAGCAGCAGTGCTGAACTTTCTCCATTTATAGACAATTTGTCTTACCGTGGACTGATGAACAACAAGGCTTTTGGAGATACTTTTATAACCCTTTCCAGCTTTATGCAAGTCAACAATTCTTAATCGTAGGTCTTCTGAGAGCTCTTTTGTGCGAGGCATCATTCACATCAGGCAATGCTTCTTGTGAAAAGCAAACCCAGAACTGGTGTCTGTTTTTTATAGGGCAGGGCAGCTGTAACCAACATCTCCAATCTCATCTCATTGATTGGACTCCAGTTGGCTGACATCTCACTCCAATTAGCTCTTGGAGATGTCATTAGTCTAGGGGTGCAGAAATCCATATCATTCCAAAGGGTTCACATACTTTTTCTTGCAACTGTATCTGCAAACATCTGACCCTTATGTAGAATTCCCATCATTTTTGCATGTTACAAAGATGCAGATAGGAGCCACACACAATCCCAGCGAGCACTTGGTGCACTGGAACAGGACCAGCAATCCCACAATGATAAGGCTACTAAAAGAAAATCTCCCAGCACTCAGGGTGTTCAAGCTGCAGGCAGATTTAATGGAACAAAAAAGAAAATAAATGTTTCTACCTGCCAAGAGGTCTTTGTCAAGCTCACAGAGACCTCTTGGAAGGTCGAAAAGCTGCTTTTCTATTAAATCTACCTGCGGCTTCAACACCCCGAGCACCTGGAGATTTTATTTTTGTATCATGTTTGCATGTGTCATATATGTAAAACACCACATTTTTTACATTGGTGTTTCCGTTTCCATATTCTGGGACATTCTGTGGACTCACAACACATAAATGGGGCTTTTAAGCTCAGACTTTGGACTCCTAAAGAGATACTCCAGCCCTCTAAAGAACTTGCTGGAAAGCTTCATGTGTGAAGAGTGTGTCCTATTATTTTCATTCTGGAAATAGTGCATATTTCAATAGAATTATATTGATTACCCCCCCCCCCTGGCTTTGCAAGCAGACAACAGGTCCAGTTACTTCCTGGTTTGGTTAGCTTAGTTGCACTGAACTCAAGAGGCAGCAGTTGCAAAGAGCACCCACCTTGCCAAGACTTCTCATTGAGCTGTATTGGGAAGTCTGTGATTGGACAGCTACAGAAAATCCAGGCAGGTTAGAAGGGGAGGGCTGGCAACGGCAGCAGACAAGAGATCTATATCCTGTTTAAGCTGTATTTAGCTATACCCCAATGCAAATAAAATGCCTAAGTAAATGCATGCAAGTTTTCATTAGGAGTATATGTACATTGATTTTTATTTATTTTGTATTTGTGCATTGGAGTGTCTCTCTAAGGCCAGCACACACTCATCAAGGTATCACAAGAGATTTGGAAACACTGACTCGAACCTGACCACTTACCTTGAAAAAAGTAACGGAGAACAAAATGGTGAGATCAGACATAAACGAGCATTCAAATCCTTGTTTATTTTTGTGCAGGGCCAAAACATGGGTGAATACTTGATGTAAATATTGTAATAAGAGGGAATGCATGGGTAGAAGTCAGATTTATATGAAGGAACTCAGTAAGTATAGGGTATAAATCATAAGCAATGAAAATGTCTTCAATTTCATGCAGGTGATAATAGACCAAGTTTTTCGACTCTTCCCCTTCCTCACTGCATTAATACTGCATATCAGATTATACATGTTACTGGCATTATTAAAGTCACAGTGCCTCGGAACCAGTGGACATGCATTCAGACATCAGCCACCATGCAGTGTTACCCCTCTCTCTCTCTGCTCCCAAGGAGTGTCAATGTGTTTGAGCATCTTTGCTCTCTTTAAATATAAAAAGTTAAGTTAGAAAAGTTATACAGCTCATCCTGTCTTTAAAAACGGGTTAGCGCGGACTTTGTTTTAAAAGCAAGATTCACACAGCAAAGGCTTAGTAGAATACACAAATAAAATATTGCTAGTTCTTTTGTAGAACCTACTGAAATTCACATTGACGAAACGCTTAACAGAGAAATGCACTAAGGCATCGGTTCAGAGAGCAACCAATCTCACAGTACAGAGGACTAATGGGCGTACAGATGTTAAATATCTGGCGGCCTAGAGGGTTTTGTCATACCTAAGTGACACCAGGAAAACAACAGATTTTAACCTCACAAACAACCAGATATAAATGAGACCCATCGAAAAAGAAGGATCCATGGTACAGTGAATCTGTGGTTCCAGCTTCTCTAGATCAATTTATTCCTTACTCTACTGCTTGTGATTTGTTTATAACCTAGAATCGGACTGCATTAGTTCAAGCACTTCGTAATCACTAATCTGGATCATTAAAGTCAGTAGGAAGTGAGCGAACAATGGTATGCATATTAAAAAAAATTAAAAACCACACTAGCAGGATATAGAAATGAATAGTTCTGTTGTTGTGCTAGGACAGTAGTTCTTATAAGGGAACTGCTACTTCTTTGGAAATTAGACAATTGAATTATTCATGGAAAATTAACAGTAACTTGTGTTAATTCATTTTTTTTTTAAATAATCCTCCATTTTCTTTTAAATGCATATTAAAAAGATTTAGAATTGAGTTAATTACAGGCACAGTCAGGCACACAATGAATGAAGGAAGGATTAGGGCATAATTTGGGTCTATTTGACCTCCTCTAGTTATCATGAATATGATGTGCCTTTTCTTAACCCTAAAATCTATTTTTGGGTCCCAATGCGGGGGTTAAGAACCACTGTGTAATCAAATCTTAGGCAGGAAACTTTGAGTTTACAAAACACGTTTTGCAGTGTTACTATCCCATTAGTGTACCAAGATAACTTTTTACACATATTATTCTAAATAAGAGGAGCAAGGCCAATGTTTTTAAGGACAACATCTCTTAGAAATACTGTAACCAATGTGGCCCGGAAACGCATTGCCTTCTGCAACCACTTCATGGCAGCACTACTTGGTGTGTACTGCAGATTTACAGTTAAAAACAAGAGAGAAGACCTCTCTATAAAGAGCACAGACATTGGTATCAAACAAAACAGAACTGGTGCTAGTTTGTGTCAATAATTTGAGATTCACAAGTGAGCTTAAATTAACCTGAGCCATTAACGTGTTGTTGTGAGATGGCCGTATTTGTGCAGGGCTAACAAAGCTTGAAAACTGAAAAAAAAAAAAACATTTAAAAACAGCAGTATTCTGTTATTTAGAAATTGTCTCAGTTTCCCAGCATCAGAAAAAAATTATGAAACAGTTTTGTTTATTTATCACAGTTCTGAAAGCTTTGCCCAGGTTATTAAGGAACACTTTGATTGTGCATCTTCGTCCTGCTATGTACACGTTTTGGCACGTTTAACAAGCTTGGCGTGTAGATCCATAGGATCTCTCTTGGAGACAAAGAGTTGTGCTGGACTAGGAATCAACTTTAGGATAAATGCACACTTTATTATTCCTGCTAATTTTACGTTCAGTTCTGCACTTGGGTTGTTTTGTCTGGATTAACTCTTCTGGGGTATTTCCCAGTGGGGGCAAAAGGCGCTTCTTGCTATTCCGTTTATCAGAAAGCCACTGAGGGGGTAACTCAAAAGGTCCAAACCCAAACTGCATGGAATATTTGTCATTGAGCACCTCTGCCTCACCTGGCATTAAGGGTGCAACTTGGGATGCAGATTCTGCGCTCTGCGGAATTAATCTCTGTACGAGAGTTTCCTCCACCGCGTTGCTGGTACTGGGTAATGCCTCTTTCACTTTGTAGTTTCTGGCACCTACAGACTTGATCTCATTATCATCATCCTCTTCAACAGACTTAAAGATCTGCTGCTGTCCAATGTGGAACATTTCGAGAAGCTGGCTACCTGAGCGCACACTAGGCTCCAAGTTCACCTCTGCTACCGAGTCAAGACTGACCACGTTTCTCCTGCTATACCTGCGGTGCAGCTGTACAATGGTGCCCACCACACACTTGCGTACAGATTTGTTCACAGTCAAGAAAAGTAGGGGGTTGGTGACCAAGGAAACCTTAGGCAACCAGATGGCAGTGAGCATTAAAAAGTCTGAGATTTGAGAAACGTTGAGCACAGTGCGGTATATAACCAAGGTCACGTAAGGAACACTGCAGAGAATGAAGATCAGGACCATGGACAGTAACATGGCATGAAGTTCGGCCTCTTTTTGGGAAACATATGGGATTGATATGGTATTTTGGGGTGTTCTCAGAGCTGCTATAATCACTTTCTTTTTTTGACTCGCACTCAGTGCTCTTCGGATGAGAAGCATAAAAAGGAAAACAACAGCAACAGGTACTAGCACCGTAGTGACGTTGTACACTAGAACATAGACAAGGTGTCCCAAAGAGTAACCCCATGACTGGGAGCAAGTGGACATGGCATAAATGTCAGTCACGTTCGTCACAGCAAACACTGGGATGCTGGCAACAACAGCATGAGCCCAGATGTAGATCAGCAAGTCTCTGGCTTTGGCATCCGAGATCTTTCTTTCTAATGGGTACAAGACCGAGTAATACCTGCAACAAAATAAAAAAACTTGTCACATTTACAAGTACCAATATACAGGATCATAAATAACTCAGTAGCTTTCTCGCCATTGGATACATGCATCGCACAGTGCTAATCTAACCATTTTTCAATATAATTTTTTTAAGTTATTACATGTTTATTAGTTATTACATTAGTGATTTTGTTCACCACGCTTTGTCAACGCTCTGAGTCGAGCAGGGGAGGGAGGAAGTTAGGAGTGGATAAAAAAAAGACATATAGAAAAAGCAGGGAGGGCTGGCAAGGCTCAGATAAGGAAGGGAGGGAGAGAGGAAGGAGGCATACAAGCTTACCTTTGCAGCAGTGGTGGAACTACTACTGGCAGCTGCACCGGGGCCCGCACAGTCATGAGGCCCATCATGTGGCCCATGCACTTAGGGCCACCCAATGGGTATTACTGCTTTATTGTTGAACAGGGGCCCGGTCTGGTGCCGCGCCCCTTTATTATTATTTTATTATTTACATAGCGCCAGCAAATTCTGTAGCGCTTTAAGACCGTGACCAGGCCCCTGTAGTATTGGCCAGCTGCGAGGAAGTGATAATCTGATCACTTCATCCCAGTTTTCTGCAGAGAGCTCTGCGCGGCAGGGAGAGGAGGCAGCCATACAGGCAGAGGCAGCGTCGGCGGCAGTTGGAGGAGCAATGAGAGATTTGATCCAGACCCCACATTCCCATCAGCCAGCAGCAGGACCCCAAGTGAGCCACCCTCCTAGACACAAAAGGTACACTAACAGGAGGGCTGCAAATATAAGAATTATAACATATGCGTTTATGTGTGTGTCAGATTGTGTGTGTGTGTTTGTGTCAAGGTGTGTGTATGTGTCAGTCTGTGTAACTGTGTGTGTGCATATGTAAGTAGGTGTATCTGCATGTCAATGTGTGTGTGCATCTGTGTTTCAGGATGTGCATCTGTGTATGCGTGGGCACTGCAGTGTGTCAGGGTGTGCATCTTTGTGTGTGTGTTTGTCAGTGTCTGTGTCATAGTGTGTGCATGTGTCAGTGTTTGTGTGTGTAGGGTGTGTGTATCTGTGTTTCAAGTTGTGCGTCTGGGGGGGGTGTATATGCCGGTGTATGCATGTGTCAAGGTGTGTGCATTCTTTGATTTTACAGAAACATTGATAGAGTTTTGCTAGCAATTCTGCTAGCACAATTTATCGATGAAATTTGATTCTCTATCATTTAAGATATTTGCCATGTTGTATTTGTCATGCCAGGTACCTGTTATTACTGACACTGGACTTGTATTTATTTGTTTATAACTGTCTGATTGTGAAATGTGTTCATTAATAGCTGCCCATAAAAATCTAATCTCGTGCCATGCATCAAACTCTAACTGGTGAGGGGCAACATAATAAATATTAGACAAGCAAAAATGAGTTTTAAGCAATTTGTCAGGATACAATTCCTGGCAATCGTCAAACTAATTGATTCAGAAATTTTGATTTGTTCACAAATTAACTGAATCAGACTCATCCGTAGCAAATTATAATCATCTGAATTAACATTACTATAGCCAGATTATGAATAACACTGGATTATTTACTGACGTATAAACTGTGAATTACAGATTTAGGATCACAATACAGCAGAGAAATTCTCAAGGTCAGTTAATGTTGTAAATTCGGCTTATTTGGTTTTAATATTTGAAATTCACTTTAAACTCATGATAATTCACCAACTCCTGACATTTGTCTAAAACCTATTGTTTGGTATATTCAACAAAGCGGCTTCAAGACAAAGAGCTTTATATAACAAAACAGTGATGGTTTCAGCTATTAACATTTGAAAACTGTTTATATTTGGAGCTTACAGTAGCTTTTCTTTAGTCTAATCGTAAAAACATCATTGACTTGTCAAATTAACCTATGAAATACGGTAACGCATTTGATGGATTCGATTTGATATCCTGCTAATCTGTTTATAATCGGCTGTTGATGGTTCTGTTATATGCTTTAGATTTAAGAGATGTTTGCTTTATAGTATATTAGTCTTGGCTTGATTTCATAACACTTTTATCTGGTGTTGCAGAGAGATATGTTTTTCTCCTATTGAGTTGATCATGTCATGCTTTGCAACGAAGCCAAACTGATTAAAACTAAGCCCAGGCAAGTGGTGTCATATTCCCGTATGCACTCCACTTTAGGTAAAGAGTTAAAGGGACATGCATCACTTGACAAGTATATTTTAAGCTAGCAAGCAAAATATGCAATACACATTTATACACGTACTATAAACTTGGTCAATTTGCATTATTGGGCACGCCTCTCAACTAGGAAAATTTATTTAGTCCCCCCCCCCCCACCTTTTACCCACCCTTCTCAGTTTTACACCAGTCCACTTATAACAGAAATAGAGCCTCATTGTGCCACAGCAGGAGAGAGAACCCCCACACAGCAGCCTGCTCTCCAAGAATTACATTTATCAGACTCCCTTTCTTCACACCCTGTCACAATGTTGCAAGGTTAGGAGATCTTCTAACTGTACATGTGTAAATCTGTCATTCAGATGCCGACATGCACATTTTCACCATTCCTAGGGATAGGACACTGATTGGTTAGATCCGTGTCAACCCTGGAGAAGGTGTGGGAAGCATAAGAAAGAAAAAGCAGGTAAACATGAAATAAATCACATTTACCTGCTTTTTTTCAGCCTGCAGAGTGAGGCAGCTGACTCATTCAAAGCTAAAGCTTTTGAATGAAACCGTTGTCTCAAAGTGATACATGTCCTTTTAAAAGAAGAGAACATAAAAATGGTCAAGCAAGAGGCTGTTTTTAATAAAAACAAAAATATCAGCCATGGATCAAACCCAAACCAAGGATGGTCCACTTATACATAGAAATTAAGAATAGGAAGAAAATGAAATTATAGTGGACTCAAAATACCATTGGCTAAAGATATAATTTTACCCTAAAAAACCAAGTGATCATTATGTCTTTATGTTGAAGAGAGTTCTTACCTATCCAATGCAATGGCGGCAAAGCTGAGAACGGTCACAGAGCAGAACACTTTGTGCAAAAACTTGATAGTTTTACAGAAGAGCAGTGTGTATATCCACCAACAACAGTGCGGGCTGGCGCTGAGGATAATGTCAAAAGGCACACACACCAAGCTGGCACAGATCCCAGAGCAAGCCAGGTTCTTCATGAATCTGTTGGTCACCGACTTCAAGACAGATGTTCTGCAGGTTGACCACAGGACAACAAAGTTACCTGTGTGTAAAATAAACAGATTAATTAATTAATACGGTATACAGTAGAAGACTGAATACTATGACCCGAGATTAGTAGATATGCAAGAATTAAACTTTCTAACACTGGAAGCCATGAAAGAGAATTTGGTACCTGTTCCGAGCTGAGGTAGGGTAGTGTATGTCAGAATTTAGAAAATTCGGTTTTCATTTCAATCTTTGCTATTTGGTAAATAAGACCCTACCTCAAATCATAGAACACAGAACCATTTCATAGGATTCTTGGAACTTTAGAAATATGAACAAGAGATTTTAGCCTACGTGCTATTGAGCTAATTATGCTAAAAGCATTTTAATTATTCTTGTTTTCATTTGTGTCCCGGGGAGCATTTCCCAGCATTATAGGTTAATCAATCATATACAAAAAGAAAAAATAATAATTATACATTAACACAGTACTTCTTAGGGTTCTTAGACTGGGATTATGTACACATAAATGTAACTCCAGGGCCATTCTTCAACTGTACATAGAATAAACACAGGGTGGCACAGGAACCTTAGGGTGAACCAGCCTGGGGGGAGCAACGTCCATGTGGCCAGCAAGAGGGAAGCCAGCCCTGGCTTTAGAGGTTCACTTTAAGATTTATTTTTCTATTTTAATACCATGTAATTACTTAAACAACTTTAAACAATATTTATACAAAGTGCAGACATAACAGCCATATATATCTTAAACTGTTTAATTTAGCCACCTAAAACAATATTCACACAGAATATAGATATTTGTGTCATATTTTATGCATGGCAACTATATAGTGTGTACCATCTTAAAAGGCTTAATACACACTGGAAGTAACCCCCTTTGTTAATGCGTTATATAGATAATGTTTTAAAATAGGCAAATATAAATCATTAAAAGGAAGAAACATACTTACATTTAAAGGTAAGTGGTATTGGCAAGCTGCAGACGCAATCCAAAACCAGGAAGAGGCTTCACCAATCAGGAGCCTCTCATTCTGATCTGAAGGTGGAAGCCACAGTTTCACTCATCATATCTGATGGCTGGAACTGCTGAATAGCTGACAACAGCCATATTATGGGTATAATGTAATAATTCATTATCCCCTCCCTCAGCATTACTGAATACAATGTTATAGTTCATTATCCTTTCCCTCAGCATTACTGGATACAATGTTATAGTTCATTATCCTTTCCCTTAGCATTACTGGATGTTAGATGGGGGGTGGGGGGGTCAACAAGTTTTGCTTTGTGCTCTGCAATCGTTAAATGGATTTGGACAACAAACGGATTTTTACAATTTACCGCAGACATAAGACTCTGTGTTCCAGTAGACACAGAGCTCCCTGCGCTATAAACTGTGCAATGAACGCATATAGTTATGTTGCACAGAATTTCCGTTTCAACCTGCCAATCTGACAGTAACAGTAAACCACGACCAATATCTAAATGGTGGTAAAAAGGGTAAACATAAGCATTTCCTGCCAGTAAGAGTAGTAATTTTGATTTACTATCATCAACCAAAAGAGGAAGTAACTTTAATTGTAAAATTATTTGTAAAAACCCCAAAGTTATTTTTAACTTAGTCCCAAGCTACCTGAACCATACTTTGTATGAAACAACATCTGTCAAATGACTATAAAAACACCCCATCTATAGAGACGCTTCTGGCTTCGAATATGTCTGTGGTCAGGTAACTCCTTCACATTGCCCGGATATGACTGTTTTATAGCATGACTGTAGAAGCACAAAGTCGTGACCATAGCCATGGGACTAAATTTATCGCAGTGCCCAGTGGAGTAATATTTTATTCTTGCATGAAGTATTTGTGCAAGTGTTTGTAAAAAAAAAAAAATAATAATAATAAGTAAAAAAATAAATAGAAAATTGCAACGTGTTTTGTCATAGTCACAGAAGTCAAAGTCACAAAAGCACAGTAAAACTATTGTAGTCTTACATGTTTAAATTCCTACCGTGCACATTTATGTGGCTCTGTTTTGCAGATTTTATTTTGCACTGTTCTTCTCTGATTACATATAACGAAAACTCTGAAATATTATCTGCCAAATTCCTGGATCAGTAACATTGGACTTGGTCCTTGCCTATTCCTTTCTATAACTGAGCCTTTATCACAGCAAGGAAAGTAAGCCAGTTGGTGTGTGCTTGTTAATGTATGAGAGTCTCTGAGACTGTAAATGTCTGAGTGTGTCTTTGTGAGCGTAAAAGTGTTTGTGTTTGTGTGTCTGCAAGTGGGACTGAGAGAAGGACTATGAGAATGTCTACCTGCCCTAACCTTCTGAGAGAACCTAACAAGACATTCACTGACTGGCCCATCAGAATATGTGAGATCAAACGTATCCCAAACATACTGGAAATAGTCACTCTATCCACCTTTATCCTCTGTTGTTTTTTGATTGGCCCAATGCTTACACTTAATTCCAGGAAACATAACCCACTCGGGCCTTGTCTCATAGTGGTGTAAGTCAAGGTTATACATTTCTGTGTACATGGTTCCTAGACTTTACTACAAAGACCTCAGAGTCCTAAAACATAGATTAGGATAGGTTTCAGAGAAAACTCAGGCCATTGGAGGAGTGATAGATCTTTAGTGGGTCCCAAATTATATGGCGCCCTTACAGCACATGAATAATCATCTAAAATTAACTATATGTCAGGAATTGGAATACCCTAACACACAAACTTAAAGGAAACAGTAAGGGAGCACGTACCGGTCCTTACAGTGGCTGGGTTAGTGGATGCAAGCAGACAGAGAGTTAACAAGAAACAAGGTCTAGGATAACAGAAATACACAGAGTCGATAGTAAAGTCAAGGTCAGGATAACAGAGAGCAGGAATGGTCAAACAAGCCAAGGGCACAAAACGGTAGATCCAATACAAAGCATAAACACACTCTCAGGTAACAAGAACCAAAACAGGGCAACGAAACAAGGACAACTAAGAAGTGTACATGACCTGCCTATACTGTGTTGTGATTGGTTACAGAGGGCTGTGATGTCACAAGAGTTTACACATCATAAAACATAGACTGACATTATATAAGGAGACCAATGGAAGGGTTCCATGTCATATATGATGTCATAATGAAGCACCAGGAAACGAGGGATCAGTGGGTGTTAATCAGAACACAGTAGAGACATCAGTTCCGTGATCTCTGAGAGGGACAGGTATTGTGACCGTATATATGGATTAGAGGTTGTTAATATAAAAAATAATATATCAGTCTAGTATTGTTGTTAAGATATGCCTCTTCATATTATTTTAAATTCTTCCTTACATTATTATCCTCTTAGATCAGCAGAGGAAGGCTCTAAATATTTTGTTATAATTAAGTTTTTGTTACTGGAAGTATGCTGGCGATTTCACACACACGTGTAGGGTAAGACCTGCGCAATGAGTTTATTGCTTCAGCCCGTAAGAACCTTACTGCAATCAAGAAGAAAAATCAACATTCATCTCTAATACCAACATATATTTAACTCACCTCTCCCTGTTACTGTCACAGGTTCTATTACCATCCCATTAAGCATTAACTCTTGTGAGCTTCACATACATATATGCATCACTTCTTTTAAACATTGCTTGTTAGTTTTTGTTGTGTGTTTTTTAACTCTAGCAAATCACACATTTAATTAACTATGGAATCACTATAATCCACTTTATGACGATACTTCAGGATGTATGACTCCTAATAAATTATTCACTTTCCTGAAACAAATCATCTCCTTTGCCCTTTGTCTACAAAGTGTGCTTACTGCGCTATCACTGTACTCTATTTTATTGGGAAATATTCCATGTTTTTGCTTTAATTGCTCAACATGAAACATTACAAATAAGTACACATGTATCTATCTGGGTATAGAGTCTTTTAATGAGTCACGTAACTGCTCTGGGGTTTAACATAATCCTCTAAAATAGATTCTTTGTTTTGTTACAGCTACTGCAAGCAACTAAATATGCAGGATGTGGTAGAACAAATGTACAGTACAGGCTGCCATGTGCTAGGGAGTTTATTTCTAGTGACGATGGCTCTGCATCGAGCAAATCATTGCATGGCAGCCCATTATAAAATATAAAAAAAGTCAAGATACTGACTGCCACAGCTCTTCTGTCTAGGAAAAAAAAAGAGCAAGCATTGCTATAACCATGGGGTATCTATTTAAACAGTGCTCTGTGCATGTGCAACCTGGTGCATATACACCTTTCGCTCTATGGCTGAAAATGTGGCACTGGCTGCACGTGGGGTATCTCAGCAGTATACATAGAAATTAGAACCTGCAAGACTAAATAAGTATGTTTGAAATGAATAGGACTCTACAAATTTGGGATGTTTCACTTTAACACAGCACACCTGATTTTCAGTCAAGGAGCTGTCAAATGTTAGTAGGGTTAGACTTACTTGCACAATTTTTCCTTGTTTTGTTAATTCCTCACTGTCCATTCTACCTGTTGCACATTTCCTTAGTTAAAGGGACACTATAGTCACCAGAACAACTACAGTTTAATGTGTCTATAGCCTGTCTTTGCTGGCTTTTTAATGTAGACACTGCCTTTTAAGAGAAAACACCTCTAGTGGCAGTCACTCAGGTGGCCACTGGAGATGCTTCCTGTGTCAGTGCTGCAGTGTGCTTCATATCACTTCTACGAGGAGATTCTGACTGGTGTAGGGCAGCGTTTTGCTGCGCATGCACAATAGCTTCCCATTGTTTTCCTACAGGAAAGCATTAGATTAGCTGAGATCGTCAATTCAGATGATCTCAGCCAAGAAGACAGAATGGGAAGGTGCCAGCTATGACGAGACCCACGAGGCGCTAGAAATAAGGGGAGTAAAATCAAGGGGGTGGCGGACTAAACTATGTTTTTACGGCTATAATGTCAGGAATACACATTTGTATTTCTGACACTATAGTGTTCCTTGAACGTATCATATAACATGTTATCACATGGTGCTATTGTCTCTGCACATCTTGTACACTATCATGTGTCTCTCGTATATATATATAGTGGATAGTTAATACAATGTTAAAAATCTGCACACCAGTCAAGCCATAAGACTTGCTTTTCCCACATTCTGGGTGGGCATTTGCAAATTAGTTTAACAAAGAATCAAATTTTTGCCTCATTCCATGTGGGAAAAGCAAGTCTTATGGCTTGACTGGTGTGCAGATTTTTGTTTAACATTGCATTGACTATCCACAGACTTCAGGTGGAAGGGGTTTCAATCACAATTTGTTCCCCACCATAACCTTTTTGGTTTTTGCATATATATATTAAATTGATCCTGATGAAACTCCTGAATAAGGACTGAAACGTTGATCCCTTGATCTCATATTTTAGTCTTGAAGACCATGAGTGCTGCCATTCCTTCTGCTATTTGGATAACTAAAGTCCCAGGCTGAGCACCCGGCAAGTATACTACATTATAGCCTGTGTGCAAGTATTTTACTACTATATATATATATATGTACAGGTGATACTCGTAAAATTAGAATATCGTGCAGAAGTTAATTTATTTCAGTAATGCAACGTAAAAGGGGAAACTAATATATGAGATAGATGCATTACATGTAAAGCAAGATAGTTCAAGCCGTGATTTGTCAGAAGTGCGATGATTATGGCTTACAGTACTGACTCCATGTATTTTTCATTTATGTCTCAATAAAATATTAAGTAAATTATATGCATACCTCATAAGTGTCACTCTTTAGGACAGAAGGTCCTAAATTAAAAAAAAAAAAAAATTAAAATAGTTTTGCGCAATTTGGCCAATTCTGGATGTAGTGTTTTGGTTTGGACGATTTTCCTCCATGCAAATGTTTTGGGAAAAACTATTCTCAAAAACCAAAATGGCGTGAAAATTGCTCAATTGTTATAGGGTTTTTCGGCACCACGAACCGAACTGCAATCACAAAACAACCAAAAAGTTTTTTTCGTAACCTTCCTTATTATATATTACTATAATATATTACTTTACCGAGAGGGTAGTGGATGCATGGAATAGCCTTCCAGCTGAAGTGGTAGAGGTTAACATAGTGAGGGAGTTTAAGCATGAGTGGGATAGGCATAAGGCTATCCTAGACTTAAGATAAGGCCAGGGACTAATTCAAAGTATTTAGAAAATTGGGCAGGCTAGGTGGGCCGAATGGTTCTTATCTGCCGTCACATTCTATGTTTCTATGTTTAATGCTTCGGAATCCGGGATTTCAGGCAAACTGCCGGTTGCCCAAAATTTGGATGAATCGCAAGCCTAATATATATTTGTAACAGAACAGATTACATTTGTATTTTGCAATACCTTTTTAATTGAACTAACAGATTTTTGGAATTTTGCGGTCCAATATAAAAGGTTTTACAATATACTAATTTCCACTGTTATTTTACATCTGCATCATGGGGCTTATACGGTTACAATCTCTAGTTCAACACTATATATATATATATATATATATATATATATAAAACCCCATGGAGTTAATCTCTGTGATTCTCTTCTGATTCCCAGGGATTGAATAACTCTGTGAAGTGGGCTGTTACAGTGCTTCGGTAAAATCGGTGTTCTGTCTGATATATTCTGCACCTCCCTGTCTCTTCTTTATTACACGATGTTCTGCTACTATTCACAGCTGCTATTTCAATGATACTGTAGGTGCCAAATTGAGAAATAAATGCAGACTCACAGCTGTGCGCTCCAGGCTTTGCACTGTCGAAAAGAAAGAGCGTGTTGTATGCATGTACAATCCCTGTTTTGTCTTGGTGTTTTTTTTTTTTTTTTTTTTGAATAGTCAATAGCAAAAAGTATGATTCAGCTGTTCTGGGTTTATGTTCTAAATGACAGTGCAGGGGTAAATCAATATTAAACGCAGCCCATCATATCAACAGCCCGTGCTCCCTGAAGTTAAAGGGTTACTTATTTCACATTATAGCTTTTACAGTTTGTAATGACCTATTGGGCATTATAAACTATATCTACCCTCTTTTTATGATTTTATTTTTTTTAACCATCATTAAACTTATCTTGAATCCAGCATCGGATCCCTTGACTCCACGCCACATCTTGACACATGCATTAACACTCTGTGGCCAAAATCATATGCTTCTCATGAAGATGCATATAATTGGACCGTTTTTACCATTTAGACCGTGTGTGTGTGTGCGCCACTGTGAGGAGGGAGAAGGAGTTGAACACGCGAGTGATGATCGGAGGGGATTATTATTGAGTTTCCCAGGACTGTCTGCAAGGGTAGAAGCTAAATACATCTGTTACCAGTTGATGACAGACGTATGTTTTGCACAGAACTGCCATTAGGCAACGCAAAACTATAAAAACCCTTCGACACATATAAGTTCCTTACTCTACGGCCACGTCTAAAAGCAAGGGGTCATAGAGGCTAGAGTAACCCTGTAGAGATGCATATCAAGACCCTATAATACACAAAAAATTACAATGTACTCTTGTTAAATACATACATGTGATACATACACACAATTGCATTGAGGATATGATACATAATGGCATTGAAGAGTCCTGGAGACATCATAATAAACCGCAAGACCAAGGGTGAGTGCTTTATAATGCAGTGTAAGAGTTATTGTCTATCCATGCTGTAGCTCTTTGTACAGCAGCATGTTGGGGTAGTGAAGGATTAATGAAACGACTTTACTGTACAGGCAGCATGGGGTCATGTCCCAGTGATGTCTAAAATTAGTGGGTGACAGCTTATTTGGCCAGTGCCACAATTATCTCAGGCCTATTGGGACATGTATATCCTAGTTCTGCCGATGATTAAAGGGACACTATAGACACCAGAACAACTACAGCTTATTGAATTTGTTCGGTGAGTAGAATCATTACCCTCAGGCTTTTTGCTGTAAACACTGTCTTTTCAGATAAAATGCAGTGTTTACATTACAGCCTTCACTGGCCACTCCTCAGATGGCTGTTAGAGATCCTTCCTGGGTCATGGCTGCCTAAAATGCATCCAAACATTCAGTATCTCCTCCCTCTGCATGCAGACACTGATTCAATTCATCTCTATGAGGAGATGCTGATTGGCCAGGGCTGTGTTTGAATTGTGCTGGCTCTGCCCCTGATCTGCCTCTTTGTCAGTCTCAGCCAATCCTATCCTATCAGGTTACCACTTCTGCTGATGTCAGCAGGCAGTGGGCAGGTCTAAAGAAAACAGGGACAAAGTAAGCATTTACTATATTTAGGGAGGCATGAGGGGACCAGGAGGGCTAGATGGTGGTTTTCCCTATAGGGTCAGGAATACATGTTTGTGCTCCTGACCTTATAGGGCTCCTTTAATGCCCCCAGACTGCATGTAGGTGATCTGGGCCTTGAAACACATTGATTAGTGCCCTTAATTTACACCTGACTCTTCCTATACAATGCTAATAATGATGGAGATTCCATAGCAGGGGTGTCCAAAAAGTAGATCCCAGATGTTGTACAACTACAACACCCATGATACTTTAAAATGACTAAGTACAGGGCCGGCCTTTGGGGTGTGCGAGGTGTGCAGTCGCACAGGGCGCCATGAAGCAGGGGGCGCCGTGCGGCCGACACAGCTCACACATGGCCGGCCAGGATAAAAGAAAAAGAAAAAATTTGCGGCGGGGCTTACCTGCGGTGGCGGCGGAGCTAAAAGTGCTGTGTAACTGCTGCAGGGGAAGCAGGAAGGAGTCCTTGCTTCCCCCAAAAACCAGAATCCAGGAGCTGCACTGTCTGTCTGCCTCCACAAGGAACAGAGGTAACTATGTGTGATTGTCTGCCTGTGTGTGTGACTGTCTGTATGTTTGACTGTCTGCCTATGTGTGTGACTGTCTGCCCTTTTGTGTGTGTGTGTGTGTGTGTTACTGTCTGCCTGTGTGTGTGACTATCTGCCTGTGTGTGTGTGACTGCCTATGTGTGACTGTCTGGGCAGACTAGATAGGCCGAATGGTTCTTATCTGCCATCACATTCTATGTTTCTATGTCTGCGCATGTGTGTGTGTGTGGCTGTCTGCATGTGTGTTTGTGTGTGGCTTTCTGCCTGGGTGTTTGTGTGGCTGTCTGCCTCTGTGTGTGTGTGGCTGTCTGTCTGTGTGTGGCTGTCTGCCTCTGTGTTTGTGTGTGGCTGTCTGCGTGTGTGGTTGTGTGTGGCTGTCTCCGTGTGGCTGTCTGCCTGTGTGTTTGTGTGTGGCTGTCTGTGTGTGTTTGTGTGTGTGGCTGTCTGTGTGTGGCTGTCTGCCTCTGTGTGTGTGACTGCCTATGTGTGACTGTCTGGGCAGATTAGATGATCCGAACGGTTCTTATCTGCCGTCACATTCTATGTTTCTATGTCTGCGCATGTGTGTGTGTGTGGCTGTCTGCATGTGTGTTTGTGTGTGGCTGTCTGCCTGGGTGTTTGTGTCTGTCTGTGTGTGTGTGTGTGTGGCTGTGTGTCTGGGTGTGGCTGTCTGGGGACGTGTGTGTGTGGGCGCTGTGAAGTTTTTCACACAGGCCGTCCAAAGGCCTAAGGCCGGCCCTGACTGTGTATGTGTAGAAGCTGTATTTTAGAACATTTGACTGTGCAACCGTCTTTTGTAAAGGAAATAAATATGGGAAACTAATATCTAGCAAAATACATTTCCCCGCTTTTATCAATAAATTCATGCTTACTCTCTGGTATAGGAGTGCATTGTGTGTGGTTTTTCTTTTACAAACACAGATGCCCACCAAGCTCTATGCTGCTGCAAAGATAATGCTAAAGATCATTTCTAGAAATCTGTCTACTTTTGGGCAAGTAAGCCATCCGAGGCCACATTGTGGCAGAACAGCTCTTTTCTAGTCATATTACACTAATTAGTCTGCCACAAATGGAGGGGCTGCATCCAATAACTCCTTGCACAATAACCACTGCAATAAACTGTAGTGGTTAAGGTTCTTTAGTGTCCCTTTAAGAATGTATCACATGGCTTGGCACTGTGTTAAGGTAGTCTGGCACAGCTTGATCTGACAACTGTTGCAGTGGTTGATACATTTCTCTAGTTTGGCAAAACCCCCAGTACAGCCAGGAAGCCCCTATATGTGCTCAGCTATAGACTGCACGTAGATTTTTATCGCATTGCCAACTCAAACAATCCCTTATGTGAGATCCTTTCTGTTACTAAAATGTTTTGGCAGGTTTGCCAGAGCCTTTACTCTGCACATTAGGACTGCATCCTTCCTAAATATAACCTTCCAGTTTTGTTTAATTACAAAGTATCAGAGACACTAAAAATACATTCTCTCTCTTCTTACCTCACACTTCCCTCCCCTGGGTCTATCACTAGCCCTGCTCAGTTACCATGGTAACCATGTCATTGCATGCATCCCCCAGCATTTGTGTGTAATTTGGAAGTGTTTTTTCTTCAGTGTATCTTGTTAAAATTACTCTCGATCCAATTCAGCAGATCTTTCAACCAAGAATAAAAGCAAAATGGTACAGCTTATTACAAAAAAAAAAAACTAAACATATAAGTGTCTGCCAAACAAATTGGAGTCTGGCTTCTTAATCCAGCTCCTCCTCCCAAATTTAATGCTTACAGTCTTATATTGTTAATAGACCCAGCAATCAATTTTTACTTTGAATAGCGTTCGTGTAATAATGTTACCAGAGTTCCTTTAGATTGTAAGCTCTTTTGAGCAAGGTCGCCATCAAGTCATGTTTCTGTATATTAGATTTGTGATTAATTGTATATAGTCTGTAGTATTGTTCAATAATAGCACAATACTACAGACTATGGCGGTGTGTTATAAAGATTAATAAAGTGTAAAAAGGAATCTGAGCATCGAGGAATGGCCTTTAACCCCTTAAGGAACAAACTTCTGGAATGAAAGGGAATCATGACATGTCCCACATATCATGTATCCTTAAGGGGTTAAAAGCAGTAGAACCGTATGCTTCATAATATGTTCAATCCATCCTTCCCCTCAAAAGAATTTCTCTACAGGCTTCTTTTTAATGCATGTACTGGGTTTGTTTATAAAGTCACCATAAAGTAAGGGTTTGTGAATATTGTTACTAAGCTGAACCTGCTGAGGTCACTTGTTAGGTCACTTGTTAGCAGGTCTGGCCATTGGAAACATAGGGTAAAAAAACGTCTCTCAATGACAATCCAGGGAGATCTTTTCCCTCTTTGGTTGCAAAAGAGCAGAAAATATGTAAGTTCCTCAGTGGCAAAGACAGTGTGGCGAAACCGACCTCGCCACTGGGCATTGGAGAAGACTGATTGCCAGCCTCCTGCCATGTGACTATGGCCCCTGGGATGTATTGCCCTTTAAAGACATGATTTTGGCATAATGGATTTGTGTTGTGCTGCTGCTGGCCCTTTAAGAACCATCTGGGGACATACTGTGGAGTTAATGGGTGGCCACCATTTCCTGTATCAGAGGCACATGGTGAGAACAATGGATTAAGCACATGGTGAGAACAATGGATTAAGCACATGGTGAGAACAATGGATGGCAGCCATTTTAACTCACAGACACTGTTTGGACTTTTCAACACGGTGCCATCTCGCCGTTATTTGGTGCGCAGAGACATCGTGCAGTGGTTTTGGACTATACAACATGGGACACATTGTGCAGTAATTGTTTTTCATATAGCCTGCATATGTTCTGTGGAATCTGCATTAAACTGTATCTTCCAAAGTACTGAATGGATCTGGGTGAATTTTGGATATGTGGTTCACCCAGATCACCCGGTTCCGAGGATATACATATTTGTGGTGTTGTTGCATGTTTTGGGGTCCCTCTGATATGTTTTATGGTGCTGTATTTCTCTGCCTGTGATAATTAGATTAACCATTGTGTTCAGTTATCATATATTCAGGCAGAGGGGAGGATTTTGTGTGGGAGTGTCTGTGTGTATTGTACAGATTGATTGGCTGTGTTTCAAAACCCTGTGGACGGTGCTATGTTTGTGGATTGTGAATAAAAGAGGCTGTATGTGCCAGTACAGTCAGTTCTGCTTGACCCTCAAAACGAAGTGTCGTCTCGTTACTGGGGGAATCTGCTACAAGGGATTGCTATGCTAGTCATACTCCCTTGCTATATCACTACTAAGCTCTTGTAAGAGCTTGTTCCTGTCTTGCTCTCTGGAGGAGTCTACAGTGCTTATGGTGTCGGCTGGAGTGCTTGGAGCCCTCAGGAAGCACTAGAAGCATCCTTCAACGGAGGTTCCCAGTCGGGGTGCCAGGTGATCCGTTACAGACAGCACTGTAACTCGTATTGGGTGCTTGCTCCTCAATGCAGCCACCTCATCCCTGCTGCTTGTCATCAGTGTGGGTGAAGTCCACCACGAATGAAAGCAGCATGGTGAGAATTCAGCATACATATGGTGATCTCTGCCATCTAAATGATGTTATCTCCCACAACGTGGCTGAGAGTATCTATCGTTCACATAGATGTGGTAATTTGTTGAGCCTGATATTGATCCCTGTTCAGTCGCCAAAATGCTCCACACTTGTAGCAGTCAGCCCCCCCAGAACTCAGAACCAATGTTCCCTTCCAGTGGCCCAAACTTAATAATTCAGGAACGTGTTAAATGTGTATTCATGCAGATTTACACGTTAATGTGTGTGCTTATTCATTGTGTGTAAATGTTTGCTTGTGTGTCTATGCAGGTGTCTGTGTCTATGTATCTGTGTCTATGCAGGTGTGCATGTGTGTTTAGAGGTAAGCTTTAATCACTAGAGCTATTTTCGGGTCAGTCCCCTTGGACACCTGCCTCCCACTGGTTCCACATCGGGCAACAGGTATTATTATCATTGCTGACTCTGACTCCAACACCAGAGCTCTGACGGCTCTCTTTTAGTAAGTTTGACAGAACTGTGTTAATGTTTTACCAGTAAGTATAAAGGCATTAATCACTTCAGAGACCTGCTCCAGTGCCTCAACATATATGGCAACTTTATAGCAAATACACACACTGCCCACATCATATTATCCTTCCATGCATGGTGTCTATGAACACGTTACGGTGTGATAAAACCTGTGAGCATAGATATACACAGAATCTGACTGGGAGTGAATGCTGCCCCAACTCATATTTTGGTACAGAGTGGTGTTTTGTTTTCTTTATGGTCACTGTGTGTGCAGGTATCTAGATCTCCTGTAGTCTAGGACATGTCCAGATGGGATTGGTTCAATCATACCTGCTAAAGATCACTTGGAAGAGGTATGTTTTAGAGTCAAGGCTTCAGGCCTACCAACCTACCATCCATCCATCATGGAGGAATGGCAGAGGTACAATATCTAGGGCACACATGGACCCTGCCGTCAATTGTTGTTAAATGAGTAAGGTGAGTGATATTTGCCCTATGTTAAACCATGCTGAATGATAGTTCCTTTAAAGTACAGACTTCTAATGGAAACAGCAAGTAGAGGGTGACAACGTTTTGGCCTACATTGGCCTTTATCAAGTCCTCAGGTGGTATCCAGGAAAAAACATGAGTGCAGCCCCTTTGCTTTGTATGCCAAACATGCTGTGTGCTGCTCATTCAGTCTTGACAAAATAAGTAACAGTATGGAGCCTGTAGACATGCCTGAGGTGCTTATAAACCAGTGCTACAGAGTTTTGGAAATGTGAAGATTTTGAGATCAAATAAAGAAGTTTAACTTTTAATATTTTGCGGAGCGTTTTTTTGTGTTTCTTGCTTCTACACAGGTGGATAGTGGACAGCATAGATCAGAGCCAACAAAGTACCATGTAAGCTATAGTGGTTATTGTGCTTTGAGTGTTTATATCTGTAAAAATAATGAGTCATATAGGGAGAACATTTGTTATGTGTGACCACCATTCAGTTTAGTTACATCTTGTTGGCTTCCTGCTTCGGGCCATTGTCAAGGATCCATAAAGAGAAGAAGAAGAAAAAAAAAAGCCTCTACATTCTAACATTCTGAGAGATTTAAAGTGGTGACTCTTGTAAGTTCCACTGCAAGAAAATGAAATGAATCTAACCCATTATTCTAATGAAATAATCGCTGTCTCCTGGAAGATGTTCAAGATTGGAACTCAAACCAGGCATTATGCTGCGAATGTCATTCGTGAAAAGTGTGGGAGGCGGGTGGGGGGACATTAACTCACAATGGAATTAAGGCCGCTAATGCAAAAGAGAATAATCCTATATTCTTATATCTAATAGCATGAAAGAATAATAAATGTTCTTTTCAGAAACTCGTCTATAATGATTTTTCTTTATTTAAAATAGTTAAGCTATTTCCATGCGTATATAAGAAAATTATAGAATAATAGTGATGCAGTGTTCTCAATTTACTGGCCCTTGCCCACCGCAAGCATCTTCTGTAAAGCACATCCATTGCATGATCAGACCAATAATTGAATACATGCTAAACAAAGTGACAAAAACTATATGACCGGTGTCAATATATATATATATATATATATATATATATATATATATATATAATATATAAAAGTATCCAAATAACTTGCACTCAAGGACTGTAAAAGACAAAGTGCCCAGTTCTAAATCCAGCATTCAAATGTTTAGTTTTTGTATAAAACTTTTTTTGGGTCCTGATAAAAGTTTTATACAAAAACTGGAACATGGACAATGAACATTTTTACTCATTACAAGAAATGCTCTCTGTTCTTGCATTTTTAGAAAGCGCTTACATTTCTCTAAGCCATTGCTATAGAGAGATTATATTTCTCCGAGTTTTTTGACTGAGGAGATTGTGAGAAAACCAGCAGGGATTTCAAGGTTTTCTCTGGTTATTCATTTATTTTCCCTTCGTTCGTCTATTTGAAGCATTATTGGTTGGGTAGATTAAAACCACTGAACACCTCCCTCCCTCCTGGCTCATTAACTTCAAAGGGGAACTGTCAATTGAGCGCTCTCTCGGGGGGGGGGGGGGGGGGCACTGTTCGTATAGCCGACCGCCACGTGGCAGAGAAAACGGTGGCCATCTTGTTTTCACGAAAGGAGGCAGCGGGACTTGGTCATCGAGTTTCTGGAACTAAAATCTGACACTCGACTTCCCAAACACCATTGAAAGTATACGAAAGCCTGCTTCCTTTTGTTGCCGAACAGCTAGGAGAGCGCCGTTCAGTAGTTTGGTTCCCACGAACAAGGGGAACAATCACTCCTATGAGCCAGGAGGCTCCGTTCGTGGATTATTTCGTTTATTTGACATTTTCGAAATTGACCGACCGCACACACTGAATTTGTGGAACTAGTATGGGCAGGAGCCTTGTGTGCGGTCGGTGAACTGAGACTTCCACACTTTAAAAACCCCTGAACCGATCTGGGTGAAATTTTAATATGTTGGTCTCCCAGATCGGGGCTATCAGGGGATATGTCATTTTTGGGGATACCTTAGAGTTAAAGGGGTGTTCTGTGTTTTGGGGAAAATGTGTTCCCTATGCCTGGAGATAATTGGGTTATCCCTTAGCTTATCTCATTATCTCTCAGGCAGAGAGAGGGAGTGTTTTATTGTAACTGTACAATGTGATTGGTTATTTTGCTTGGGTACTGTGGGAGGTCCTCTTGCAGGGGGACCTTCATAAAAGCCTGTGTGGTCTCAATAAACACCATTCTTGTTACACCCTTCATCTTGTTTCAGCTGGTGTTTGGGTACCTGATTGATATTTGGGAGAACTGCACTAGAGGATTTTGTGTATTTAGGATTTAACTGGCGAATAATTCCCGGCGAACATAGCATGTTCGCGTTTGCCATGGCGGGCGAACATATGTGCGGTTCGATCCGCCCCCTATTCGTCATCATTGAGTAAACTTTGACCCTGTACCTCACAGTCAGCAGACACATTTCAGCCAATTAGCAGCACACCCTCCCTAGCAGACCCTCCCACCTACTGGAAGGCATCCATTTTACATTCATTCTCAAGCTGCATGCTTAGTGAGAGGAGGGAAAGTGTAGCTGCTGTTGATTAGATAGGGAAATGCATAGCTAGGTTAGGGTATACAGTGTCCACTACAGTCCTGAAGGACTCATCTGATCTCTGCTGTAAGGACAGCACCCCAAAAAGCCCTTTTTAGGGCTAGAACATCAGTCTGCTTTTTTTTTCTTTCTGTGTAATGTAATTGCAGTTGCCTGCCTGCCAGCTTCTGTGTCAGGCTCACAGTGGATACTGTGCCCAGTGCCACCACTCACTCACTGGTGTCACAATAGCTTGCATTTAAAAACAAAAAACTTTTTTCACTGTTATAGATTGAATAGCAGTTAGTTGTCTGCAAGCATCTGTGTGTCAGGCTCACAGTGGATACTGTGCCCAGTGCCACCACTCACTCACTGGTGTCACAATAGCTTGCATTTAAAAACAAACAACTTTTTTCACTGTTATAGATTGAATAGTAGTTAGTTGTCTGCCAGCGTCTGTGTCAGGCTCACAGTGGATACTGTGCCCAGTGCCACCACTCACTCACTGGTGTCACAATAGCTTGCATTTAAAACCAAAAAACTTTTTTCACTGTTATAGATTGAATAGCAGTTAGTTGTCTGCCAGCGTCTGTGTCAGGCTCACAGTGGATACTGTGCCCAGTGCCACCACTCACTCACTGGTGACACAACAGCGTGCATTTAAAAACCCAAAAACTTTTTTCACTGTTATAGATTGAATAGCAGTTAGTTGTCTCAATGCGGGTGTGTCAGCCTTACAGCGTGTACTCTGCCAGTTTACAGTGCCACTCATATCTGGTGTCATAATAGGTTGCATTTAAAAACAAAAAACTTTTTTCACTGTTATAGATCGAATAGCAGTTAGTTGTCTGCCAGCGGGTGTGTCAGGCTCACAGTGGATACTGTGCCCAGTGCCACCACTCACTCACTGGTGTCACAATAGCGTGCACTTAAAAACCAAAAATTTTTTTCACTGTTATAGATTGAATAGCAGTTAGTTGTCTGCCAGCGGGTGTGTCAGGCTCACAGTGGATACTGTGACCAGTGCCACCACTCACTCACTGGTGTCACAATAGCTTGCATTTAAAAACAAAAAACTTTTTTCACTGTTATAGATTGAATAGCAGTTAGTTGTCTCAAAGCAGGTGTGTCAGGCTCACAGTGGATACTGTGCCCAGTGCCACCACTCACTCACTTATGTCACAATAGCGTGCATTTAAAAACCAAAAAACTTTTTTCACTGTTATAGATTGAATAGCAGTTAGTTGTCTTCAAGCGGGTGTGTCAGGCCTACAACGTGTACTCTGCCAGTGTACAGTGCCACTCATATCTGGTGTCACAATAGCTTGCATTTAAAACCAAAACACTTTTTTCACTGTTATAGATTGAATAGCAGTTAGTTGTCTCAGAGCGGGTGTGTCAGGCTCACAATGGATACTGTGCCCCGTGCCACCACTCACTCACTGGTGTCACAATAACGTGCATTTAAAAACCAAAAAACTTTTTTCACTGTTATAGATTGAATAGCAGTTAGTTGTCTCAAAGCGGGTGTGTCAGCCCTACAGCGTGTACTCTGCCAGTTCACAGTGCCACTCATATCTGGTGTCATAATAGCTTGCATTTAAAAACAAAAAACTTTTTTCACTGTTATAGATTGAATAGCAGTTATTGTCTCAAAGCGGGTGTGTCAGCCCTACAGCATGTACTCTGCCAGTTCAAAGTGCCACTTATATCTGGTGTCATAATAGCTTGCATTTAAAAACAAAAAACTTTTTTCACTGTTATAGATTGAATAGCAGTCAGTGTCCTTAAAGCGGGTGTGTTACGCTAACAGTGGATACGGTGACCAGTGCCACCACTCACTGGTGTCATAATGGCTTGCATTTAAAAACAAAAAACTTTTTTCACTGTTATAGATTGAATAATAGTTAGTTGTCTCAAAGCGGGTGTGTCAGGCTCACAGTGGATACTGTGCCCAGTGCCACCACTCACTCACTGGTGTCACAATAGCGTGCATTTAAAAACCAAAAAACTTTTTTCACTGTTATAGATTGAATAGCAGTTAGTTGTCTCCAAGCGTCTGTGTGTCAGGCCTACAACGTGTACTCTGCCAATTCACAGTGCCACTCATATCTGGTGTCACAATAGCTTGCATTTAAAAACAAAAAACTTTTTTCACTGTTATAGATTGAATAGCAGTTAGTTGTCTTCAAGCGGGTGTGTGTAGCGTTACTCATCTTATCCAGGGGCCGGCTGCGGTCCTCTCTTCGAGCCGCGCGCGGTCCTGCTGCTGCACGAGCCGCGCGCGGCTCATCCGACAGCTTCACTGGAAAGGCGGGCAGTGACCGCGAGAAGCCTCTTCCATAATCTCCTCGGCTGAGTCCTCTTCTGCTGCTGCGTCTTGCTCCACATCAACGGATAGGGGACGTAACAGGGATTAAACTGATAAGAATAGTACTACTTAACACACCAATCCTATCTGGTGGCACATTAGATTGCACGCGCAGTGCCCCAAATTTGTTGTGATCTGCGAGTAAGGTAAACGGTTGTCCATACAAGTAAGGTTGCAGCTTTTTGAGGGCCCACACCACCGCCAGGCACTCCTTTTCAATGGCAGTGTATCTACTTCCCTGGGCAAAAGTTTCTGGCTTAGATAAGCCCCGGGTTGCTCGCCGCCATCTGCTCCGACTTGGCTCATTACTGCTCCCAATCCAAACATAGAAGCATCTGTATGGACGAGAAAGCGTGTAGTTGGATCAGGAGCAGAAATTACAGGTGATTTAATGAGCGCCGTCTTGAGCTGTTGGAAGGCCTGTTCACACTCTGGGGCCCATACTACTATCTTGGGGTGGTTTTTACACGTTCCTATATGGCACTTACTGGGCTTTAGGGTCAGTCCGGCCTCCCTAATCCGGTCTAGTACGGCTCCTATGTGGGTCAGGTGTTAGGGCCAGGAGCAGCTAAAAATGGCTATATCATCCAAGTAGGCGCAGGCATACTCCTGAAACCCATCCAGTAGCCGATCTACCATCCTCTGAAAGTTAGCAGGGGCATTCTTCATCCCTAATGGCATGACCTTAAACTGATACAGGCCAAACGAGGTGACAAATGCCGACTTGTGGATGGCGTCCTCGGCTAATGGAATTTGCCAGTACCCCTTGCACAGATCTATTGTGGTGAGGTACTGGCCTCTGGCCATTTTGTCTAGGAGCTTGTCTATCTGGGGCATAGGGTAGGCGTCTGAGGTTGTTTTATCATTTAGACTCCGTTAGTCTACACAGAAACGGGTCGTGCCGTCCCATTTCGGTACTAGTACTACCGGGGAGGTCCAGGAGCTGTCAGAGTGTTCTATCACCCCTAACTGCATCATTTCCTCAATTTCTTTCCGCATATTTTCTTTAACTGCTTTGGGTATGCGATAGGCGGTTTGGCGAAGTGGGGTCTGGTCTAGGGTTTCAACTTTGTGAGTGGTTAATGGACTGTACCCAGGTAGGTTGGAAAACGTGGCCCCTTTGTCCTGGATTAGTCTTTGGACCTGGGTTCGCTCCTGGGGGTCTAACCGTTCTCCTAACTGTACTTCTCCCAGGTCGCCGCTCTGGCCCTCTAGGTCTAGGAGATCTGGGAGTGGCAAATTATCATAATCTTCAGTGGCAGGTGCACAGATCGCGGTTACCTCTTCCGTGCACTCGTGGTATGGCTTGAGCATGTTCACATGGAGCATGCGCTTGCCTCCCGTGCCTGTGACCGCACCGATCACAAAGGTGGTATCACAAACCTGCTCTACCACCTTGTATGGGCAACTTGTCCTTGTGGACAGTGTCAATCCATATCTGCCAAGTGACCCTATGTAGGGGGAACAGTCTATATTCTGCTCTGTGTCGGTGTGTATCAGGGGCTCTGAGGACAGGTGTCAATCCATATCTGCCAAGTGACCCTATGTAGGAGGAACAGTCTCTATTCTGCTCTGTGTCAGTGTGTATCAGGGGCTCTGAGGACAGGTGTCAATCCATATCTGCCAAGTGACCCTATGTAGGGGAAACAGTCTCTATTCTGCTCTGTGTCGGTGTGTATCATGGTCTCTGAGGACAGGTGTCAATCCATATCTGCCAAGTGACCCTATGTGGGAGGAACAGTCTCTATTCTGCTCTGTGTCAGTGTGTATCAGGGGCTCTGAGGACAGGTGTCAATCCATATCTGCCAAGTGACCCTATGTAGGGGGAACAGTCCCTATTCTGCTCTGTGTCAGTGTGTATCAGGGGCTCTGAGGACGGGTGTCAATCCATATCTGCCAAGTGATCCTATGTAGGGGGAACAGTCTCTATTCTGCTCTCTGTCAGTGTGTATCATGATCTCTGAAGACAGGTGTGAATCCATATCTGCCAAGTGACCCTATGTAGGAGAACAGTCTCTATTCTGCTCTGTGTCAGTGTGTATCAGGGGCTCTGAGGACAGGTGTCAATCCATATCTGCCAAGTGACCCTATGTTGGGGTAACATTCCCTATTCTGATCTGTGTCAGTGTGTATCAGGGCTCTGAGGACAGGTGTCAATCCATATCTGCCAAGTGACCCTATGTAGGAGGAACAGTCCCTATTCTGCTCTGTGTCAGTGTGTATCAGGGATCCCTAGGACAGGTGTCAATCCATATCTGCCAAGTGACCCTATGTAGGGGGAACAGTCTCTATTCTGCTCTGTGTCAGTGTGTATCATGGTCTCTGAGGACAGGTGTCAATCCATATCTGCCAAGTGACCCTATGTAGGGGGAACAGTCTCTATTCTGCTCTGTGTCAGTGTGTATCATGGTCTCTGAGGACAGGTGTCAATCCATATCTGCCAAGTGACCCTATGGAGGAGGAACAGTCTCTATTCTGCTCTGTGTCAGTGTGTATCATGGTCTCTGAGGACAGGTGTCAATCCATATCTGCCAAGTGACCCTATGTAGGAGGAACAGTCTCTATTCTGCTCTGTGTCAGTGTGTATTAGGGGCTCTGAGGACAGGTGTCAATCCATATCTGCCAAGTGACCCTATGTAGGAGGAACAGTCTCTATTCTGCTCTGTGTCAGTGTGTATCATGGTCTCTGAGGACAGGTGTCAATCCATATCTGCCAAGTGACCCTATGTAGGAGGAACAGTCTCTATTCTGCTCTGTGTCAGTGTGTATCAGGGTCTCTGAGGACAGGTGTCAATCCATATGTCAAGGTTTCAATATGTCATATGTCAGGTGTCAATCCATATCCATTGTGATTTAGGAATGTTAGGTGATTTATGCCCTTTATGGATTAAGACCAGACTCTGCATCAATTTTCCATGGGAGTTTTGCCATGGATCCCCCTCTGGCATGCCACAGTCCAGGTGTTAGTCCCCTTGAAACAACATTTCCATCACTATTGTGGCCAGAAAGAGTCCCTGTGTGTTTTAAAATTCGCCTGCCCATTGAAGTCTATGGCGGTTCGCTGGTTCGCGAACATTTGCGGAAGTTCGCGTTCACCATCACTAACGGTGAGCTATATACTCACTCTGACTCTCGGCCGTTCGGCTCAAATCATACGAACCACTAGCTACCACTTCAGGGTTCGTTACAGTGACCTCAAGTGACAGGACTGGTTCAAAAGAAGGATCACGCAACAGAGTAAGTACTACATTCAGATCATAATATTGGAAATTGACTTGACAGATCTAAGAACAAGAGGATCTGCTGAAATATTCTGGAATTAATAAAAGCTGATTGCTGAAATTTAAACTTTTGGGGATGTGGGTTTGAGACCTTTCTTGAACCCAGTAGATTTATTTTGATATTCCCATGAGATCTGAGAACCAGACTCTGTGAGGCCAGAAAAGAATAACTGCAATGATTGGAGTAGTCTACCTTTTTATTCTCAATAACACTAGAGTATTTAGACACAGAGTGGAAAAGATTGTGCACTTAAATTTCACTGGATTGAAAGGTTATCTAGAAATTCGGAGAGATTTACTTTTTTGATCGAAGCAAATACTCAAAACTTTCTGTTCTCTACAGGTGTCAGGATGTCGGAGTCCCAAATCTCTTTGTTATTTGACTGAAGGTGTGGGGCAACGAGATCAATCCATTATTTTCAAATGGTACCTGTTAAGGAAGTCTGCTAAGATAGTTGTAGAATCTCTTACATGAACTGCCAAAATTGCAGAGAGGTGACTTTCTGTCCATTCCATGATCGTTATACATAGACGGGATAGAGCTGATGACACTGTACCTTCTTGTTTGTTTAAACAGGCTTTTACAGTCATATTGTATGAACATATCTGGATATAATCTGCCTTGTAAATAATTTTCCAGACTGATGAGAGCCATCCAATTTCTCTCTGAAAGAAAGGCCATGTCTCAGGAAGGCAGTCTTCAACCACCATGTTAGCGATAGTCTTTTTCGAGGTCTTAAAGTCATAATTGCACAGCGACATCACCATCTCTGCAGTACATGATTTTAAAACATTTTCTACCAATTAAAGTAATGGTCAGATTAAAAAGAGAGATGGACATGGTTCCATTTTGAAAGAATGTTTTGTTGCAGGATTCTAACCTGCAAGTTTGCCCATTTGACAGTTAGAAGAAGAGAAATGGTTAGGTTACCCAGATACCTCACTGTCCGTGTCTTTTTTGTAAAAAAACTAAAGTAGTTCTTTAAAAATGTTTTTTTTTCCTGGTTTTTCCATTGGAAGAAAAATCTTGAAAAACCATGCTGATTCAATTTGTGATAAGCCCTAGAAATGCAATGTTGCTTGTTAGATATGATTCTGATTTGTTCCAATGTATTGTCCCAACTGTGTATGTCCTGCAGTATTTTCTGTTTTGTTTTGGCTTTCAATAGCCATTCGTCAACATACTATATTGCATGAATCCTATGTTGCCTAAGTTGTGCAGTGAAGACCACCAGGAGCCCTAAATTGGAAATGTACTAGTTTCCCTTGGTTTTGTAAGCAGAATCTCAGAAAACTGTTGCTGTGATTAGAATGTGGAGATATGCATCTTGGTGGTTAATTGAAGCCATATAATAGTTTTCCTGAAAGATTTAAGAGCAGAGTAAATTGTCTGTACATTGAATTCATTTTTTGTTACAATCTGGTTTTTACATTTCAGGTTGTGAATGGGTCTGCATTCATTTCCTAATGCATGTTTGAAATTATTAAATTTTCTGAAGGATCAGATTCTATGGAATAGTCTTTTTTTTTCTTTTATAACTGATAGGACTCAACTGTCTTGGAAAAACATTCTCCCACCAATAATTTAGGCTTGCCTGATCATGTATCCACATATTGTCGTGGTTTTTACAAAAATTAGATCTCTTGAAACTTTCCCTGTGAGATGGACATTCATTTAAAGGAAACCTGCGTTTCCATTTATATTTCCTCTTTTCTTGAACAAGGGCTTTATTTCTGTTAGCCATTTGTTGGGTAAGGTCCTCTGTGACCCAAAGAGCTTCCCTTACTCAATGGGCAAGTAACATAATATATAGTTTGAAGAAGCATCAGTAGTCCAATTTGTCAACCACACCGCCCTTTGGCTACTGTGGACAAACCATATCGCTAGCTAATAATTTCAAGGCTTCTGTCAAAGGTTCAAAAACAAATTCTGCTGCCATTCTGATGTTTTTTAAAAGTTTAGCATTAACCTAATAGCAACTTCTCTACATACTTTGAGCTTTCACCACTGAAACAGCTGAATCAGGGCCTTCGTCTTGACTGTCAAAGTTATCAAGGCTCTACGTAATAAAGTTCCTGTTTTTTTAACAGGAATCCTCTAAACCAGCCGTATTTCCTATAGGGAGAGTGGTCTTTTTGTCTGACTGTGCTACCGGAACACGCACTTTTGGGAGTTCTTCCAATTTTTTGTCTTCATTTACGGCAAATATTTGATTAAATTGTTTATTCAAAAAAAAAATTCTTACAGGGAACTCTAAGAGGGAGCTATTCTCTTAGGATAGCTTTCTTGAAAACTGATTGAAAAGGAAGAGCATTAGACTTCTTAGCCTTTGAAGCATCTTCGTGGTCGTCCATCAACAGAGCCATCTCCCTTCTGAGCTTATTAATGTTTTCTTCCTGACAAAATGAAAATTCTTATTTTGAATCCTCAAACATAGAGGATGATACAGAGGAAGAATCCTCTAAACTAGATGAAGCCACCTCTTCCGTCCTCTTTCTGCCCACTTACACCTGATTGGCGATAGAGGGTACGTTTTGTTAAACCGACTGCAAAGTCTCTGAGTACTGATCAAGGATGGTCTGCTGCAAGAATTGAACCAACTGAATTTATTTTTCTCCTCTTCAGCATGGGTTACATTATTTTCACTTGTAACCATCAGGAAAAGCCCGCTCACAGCTGGCACAAATACGATGTTTAGACTTCAACATGGCTTTTCCATTCTCCAAAGGTTTGCTACAATCCTCCTTTTTACTTTTTGCTGGATTAGACATTTGGTAAATGAAAAGCAGAAATAATTTAGACTTAGATTCAAAACATATTTGTTAGAACTACTAGAGGAGCTTAAAAGATAGAAAACTAAAAATAAATGTTTTAGGGGGCTGGTGAGAACACGGTGTACACCTGCTGACCTTCATCCCGTGGGTCGCAAGAAACACTACCCATCTAAATTTTTGTGAGAAACGTCAGATCGCTTTGTGTATGCGCAATGTGCGTATTTATCTTTTACAGAACACATCGCTACTTGTACGTGAATTCCGGCATTTTTTAATCTGGCCATTACTTTATTTGGTAGACTGTGTTTTAGAATCCTGTACTGCACAGATGGTGATGCGGCCGCGCAATTGTCCCATGTAATAAACAAACATCTGCAGGGCTGCTGTGATTAGTGGGAATTACACCCACAAATCGCAACAGCTGCTAAATTAATGCAGCACTTTTCCAAGCTGAATCAAAGACAGTGGCTGAAATACTTGGTGCCTGAGACTGTAACTCTAACTAATCTCGGGGTGTACCCAGACATACTGGCAAAGAATTAAAGAACCACCCCAAGCCCTAGATGGCAATAAATAAAGAGATCACCATTACAGTATGTATCATCTATATCAAGGGTGCCCAGTAGCTAGATCCCCAGATGTTGTAGTCCTACAACTCCCATGAATCTTTGCATGCCTCTAGATTGCGTTTAGCATGACAAGGCATCATGGAAGCTGTAGTTTTAAAACATCTGGGGATCTCCCTTTTGGGCACCACTGATCTATATACATATATATCCTTGGTCCTTTTTCTTTCCCTCCTAAAAACTGTACAGTTTTATGCTGCAGGCTCAGCCAAAGGCTGTTCAGCTTTTACTGCCTGGAAACAGGACCTATTGCGTGTTAGCACATTTGAATGGATCCAATTTTTTTTACGGAGTCTCTCTAAATACAGTTAAGCCCCTATACCTTACTAAGGATCCGCTGGTATTGAAGCAGACTAGAAATCCGAGAATTGCCCAGGGATCTTTTCACAACATCCAGGAAAATGGTACCCTCCCTTTCTTCAAGGGGATATCACACCAGCTTCAAACTTTACTTGAGCTGATCTCTGGCCGTTCTGCCAGTCTTAAGATAGCTTTATAATGACAATTAGAAGTGTTGAGTCATGGCCTTTAAAATCTTTCATTAAAAAAAGGAAGGAAGCTTACAACATCATCATTGACTCATGACCTGCGACCACAACACAAACTTCAACAAGTGTACTCGGTAACTTGTTTGAGTGACTCAGTGTTTACCAGACAGAAGAGTTACTTTTGCAGTAGTAAAAAACAAATAATAGTTCTCTAATCTAGGGTTTGTAATGAGTAAATGTCTACAAGTGTTGATAAACACTTTTATAAAATGCTGTTGTGCACACAGTTAAAGGGACTATCTACGCAGCCTAACCACCACCACTTCCTGGCATGGATCACCCCATCATCTGCACTGATAATGTGGAATTAACACTTTTACATTGTTGATGCCAATTTGGTCCAACCTGCATGACAATGAACGGCTCCAAGTGCCAGATGTAGATTATGTCATCCATAACAGGATGTTATGGTTTTTGGAGGGTCTCCTTAAGCAGTGGTTGAACTATATAGAGAGGGTGATGGTGCAAGAAATGTCCTGCCCCACCTCCCCTTATTGCAAGGGCCAAAAGGTAGATCCCTATCTGTTGAACAACCCCCACAAGGCTTTTCCACCTAGGGAACTATCATTTGCCCATCTTTGCAGGGTTGTATTCACTACTGAGCAGTGTTTGTCTGTTTGAATGTTATACTTACTTAATGCTCTGGTTCTATGGAAGATCCCGCCAGACTGCAGATCACAGAACTTTGCGTACATGTGTAATAAGATGTTATAAGAATTAATAGCTCATACCACATAAAGATGCATGTTCTCATCAGCTGTTGCAACCAATGGCTGATGAGAAAGGGTAGGACATGGTGGCAGAACATACGAGTAGTCCCTGCTTTGTCTCATCTACAACTTGTGATCGCTTTGGAATTTCAAATAAATTTCTACAATATTAACATGAACCTTAGCGAACAATTCTATCTATATGAAAAGCCCTATGGTGACAGTGCCACTTTAAAATTAAAAAATGTAATACATTGTTTCATGGAAATGTATGGGTATGTCAAATCTACAGCTATAAATGTAGGTCTCAGAATCCCTGAACATTTGTGGCTTATTCACTAAGCAGTGAACCAAGATTAATGAAAAACAGATTTATGAAACTCAGCTAGAACACACTGAATCATGGTTGTAACATTTCCCATAAGTTTAGTACATTATATTACATAAATTCATAGTGAAAGGGGACACTCCAGGCTGGAACAGACCCTTTGGTTTTTGTAAGACATTATATAGATAATGTATAATAAATAAGCACAAACAATAAACATGTGAGGTAAGAGGGATCATTGCTGCTTGTATATATGGGACATACTGAACAAACAGAACAGAGATCATAACACTCAAACAGAGTGCCATATGGACAAAGCAATTTCAGTGTGTATTTCCTGCCAGTGTGAAAAAAGTGTGCATTACATAAATCCCTTGAAGTAAAAGATGACTCATGTAATGCAAACGTTGTTACAACCCCTGATACTTCTATTCTCTGTGTAGATGGACGCTATCTTTATAGCTACATCAATACTTTGTGTTAGATTGGAAGAGGCATGTAAGCACAGTCCTAAACTCCTAATGTAATATTGTGTATAAATTAACTCTGTATTGTAATTATCATTTTAACCTATTCAAATTGTAAATTGTTGGATAAAAATTGACTCAATAAAACAATATTTGAAAAAAATTACCTAATATATTGTAATGATATTTTCCTGATCCTCGCTGCGATTTGGAACTTCCAAACAGGCCGCACGCGCCGAACGAAATAACCAAAGTTGTTACATTGTATTATTTCTGGTATTGATCGTGGCTTTTTTTTTTTAAGTGTACTTTTCATATACTGTTAACCTGACTCCAGCTATGTGTTTGGTAATGCAGTCTTTGTTATCCTGACCTAGACTTGTATCTGACTACGCTACCTCTCTTTTGTACAATAAGCTCGGCCAGTCCGGCCACTGTAAGGACAGGTAGTACGTCTATTCTATCCAGTCTGTTATTGTTATCCTAGTCTCTGCATGTTAGGGTAATTCCTTGTATCATATACACCCAGTCGGTACTCTATCAGATATATCTACCTAGTAGTGCCACACTGGGGATATGAATCTAAAACATTCTATGTTGATTGTAGTAAACTTACGGTAGGTATGCTAAATAATTTCGATTTTGTGATCATGTCCACTGCATTTTTGTCTCTGTTAAAAACTGACCATCATGGTTTTCCAATGGTGTTGCCTTTCCTTTATAAGTCTCAACACATTATTTTTCAGAGATGTCCTGCTATACACCACTGTTCTAAAGAGCAGTTATTAGAGTAATTTGTGGCATCATCATCATTTCATTCACTTTAAAATACCACAAGGTGGTTGATATATTTTAACCAATCAATGCTCTCACATTGATATGTATGGGAAATAGATTGAAATGCTTTCCGAATGTTTAAACTAGTCTTATTTGAATGCGTTCATGGCAGGACATGTCAATACAATTGTTGGGGGGCAGGGGTTTCAGCAGCTGAAGGAAGAGCGAGCTGCTGCAGGTTTTTGTAAAGTTACGAAAGTGTGAATTGTTGGGAACAGAAAGACAATTCAACGTGATTATAAAATGTCCACCAAAATAGTTGAATTGAAAACAAAGCTAACTTGGAGAATTTGTCCAAATCAGTAGTGTTGTAATTTCCATAACAAAAGAATTTTGGGACATTTCAGAGAGACATAAAAACCAAATCTACAGGTTAAAAACATAGAAACATGGAATGTGACTGCAGATAAGAACCATTCAGCCCATCTAGTTTGCCCAGAGCGGGTGCCAATATACATTTCCGCCCCATGTGCCAAGTTACCTAGCTACGCCTCTGGTACAAATTGGCTATTTAGAACAAAAAATTTAAATTTGTCATTTTTTCATCAATTCCAAATTAAAAGATTAATCCTGTGTAATTTTTTTCTATGAAAGTTGAACACTTGTGGACATTAATCACGTACGTCGAGTGATACTTTAAGTTGCAGATGTATTTCAGCCTATGAAAAAATAAATGAATGCATTTAGGAAGAGAAATAAACATTCTAACTGAAGGATTATGTAAAGTGGGATATTATTCAGAATAGGGAAGAGTCTGGGAATATTTAAAGATTCCAAACTCTCAAGAGATGGAACATCAGTGGCAGAGGATTGAAAGCCAATGCAAGTTGTTATGTACTTAAAAGCGGTATTAAGAACAAATATTGAGGTCAATTAGTAAAAACCCAATTTGAACTAGAACTGGTTGAGAGACAAGCAACGTAAGAAAGGAATGGATCAAAGATGACGGGGAACAACTATATATAGCCGCATACAACTATATCCAACTTGTTGATGGTTGTTCTTACTTTATTTTTATTTATAGACCGATTTTCTGTTTCAATCATCTCATTTTAAATGAGGGATTCACTATACCAGATTAAATTGTTGGATTCATCTTTTTACAGTTAGAAAATGGCAGGGACACAAGACAACTCCAGGTGTCGCACAATTAGCACAGCAATTTCAAATGACACTGTGCTACTTAGATGAGTTAACACTGCTGTAATAGGTATTTGTCTCAGGTGCTCAAATTTGTGAAAATTCATCAAATCCATCCTGCCTCTAAATGTCTATGAATTGGAAAAACACTGTGAGAGTTTCACTCTACCTGATGTCTTATCAATGACCTGTAAAGTGCCAGGCATTGTCAGGACACTATAATGACCAGTATTAGAGCTGGAAACAAACAATGTGAATTGCAGTCCTGCGTTAGCTGGGGAACTTCCATTCAACCGTCCTTGGATTGAACATCTTCCATTATAACCTAGCATGCTTCTAGATATCTCATTAAAAAATTGAAATTAATCATATTCTTCAAAATATCCTGTTTAAATAAACTTTATCATCTTGTGTCCTACATCTTGTGGGATGATATAATTAAAATAACTCATGCCTTTTATTACTGGTATGTTCTTGACTTTAATTACTGGAGTGGTATCATGAAAATTTAATGAGAATAGTGGAAAACCTATGGTTAGAGAAATAGGTCAGAATTGAAAATTGTGCGGCAGCATATTGAATTCAAAGGATAATACCTTGAAAGGGGTCACAGATTACTTTGAAGGGGTCACTTGTACTAGCATAGAGTGGTTATTGGAAATTCAGCGTTCTGTATAATGCATATAAAGTCATCAAAGGAGAGGAGGATTACAAAGTATACAGTCACACTCGTAGGAATAAAAGTCATAGGAGAGTCATAGCTCTATAGTAGATACATGAAGTGTATCAGAGATGGGTATTGTCCTATTTTAAAATGTGTACCTGATTGATAGCAGCAGAGTCATGGTGGGTGGTGTAAGCTACACTACAATTTACAGCATAGCTGGTATATGGTATATAGAAACTATTCAGAAGATTAATAAATATTAATGATTTGGTACTGAACATAATCAATAATTGATCTAAATGTACATAACAGACATAGAGGAATGGCATTAATGCTTGATTATATGAACTGGACAAGGGGATACAATAATTTTTACCAATAAATAACTGGAGTTATAAGTCCTTTTTGGGAGTCTAGTAACTGGAAGCAATCAGAACAAAAAAGCTAGAAGGGTCTCTCCACCTGCCCACCACATTAACATACATAATGAATTCACTAAGTCCAAATATAACATAAAATAAAAACATTAACTCCAATATTTCCCACGGTCCAAACAATGATGTGAACATCAGCAAAGCTTAACCAAGTATACCAACTTAACAACATATGATATTTTGAAAAGGCCAATAGCTATAAGGAAAGTATACCCACACTCACAATGAGGTTGGCCATATCTTTAGTTATCTGGTGCATACAGTGTTGTTATACATGTATATAGTAAACAGAGGCTATTTTACATATATATGAGTAGGCAAATAACACTTGGAAGACCTCTAAAAGCACCACTGCACATGGACTGGGGATGAGGTGTAGAGATAGCACATGGTCAGGTACATAGTAACCAGTATTAGAGTGTGATGTAACCATTTGTCCAGGTGGAATCTTTGTTCTCTTTCCACCTGTCACTCACAATGACTTGTAGCAATAATAATATTGCTACTACAACTAGCACTACTACTGAATATTTTAGAAGCTCCTGAGATGTGGACTCACCCAGCAAAGACCCGATAAAAATGACAACTTGGACGCTGATGGTGAAATGCCTATAGCTGAGCCCATCAGAAGCACTCCGGTTGCTCCACATGACGTGTGAAAGGGACACATTCCTGATCTCTAGAGACCTGGTCGCCGACTGATAGAAGCTGAGGTCGCTCCGGTTCCTGAAGCTCCAGCTGCCGTTATCCCCCATGGTGAATCCTTTCCCTCTTATTGCATCTGCTGCTGGGCCATGGGCTGTGCTGGATTGATGGCTCTGGAGCCCTCAGTCAGCTCGGTGCTGTGCCTGGTTGTGTAAGCCCATCTCAAGGTGACGATGGCAAGCCATGTCCTGGAGCTGTGCATTTTCTCACGGGTGTCCTTCAGCCGGTCCTCCTCTGGCTGTGACCAGGGCATGTAGAAGACAACACATCCTCCTCTCTGCTTCTCGCCCCCAGCAAGCATCTCCTCCAAATCGTGTCAAGCGCCTGGGAAAGAGGAGGGGGGGGGCTCAAACAGCTCACCCTGAATCTCATCACTCTTCTTGGTCCTTCCAGAGAGAGTCCAGGGCAAGAGGATCCTAGCTGCCTTTCTGATCACCTTCGTGCCGATAAGGATAGAAACATAGAAAGACTAAAGGAAGCAGTCACCCAGGGTGATGCTATAGAACCATGGAAGCACAGTGATACAATGAATCCTCCCTCTCTCAGAGCAGGAGAGGGGAGATTGCTCGAAAAATGCACACAGGCTCATTACATGAACAGAGATACAAAGACTGCAAACAGGGAACTTGCTACTGGGGATTCAATTAGAACACAAAGATCCTTAAAATATCCCGAAATGCACTGAAATTCAATGAAACATAAAAGGAGGGTTGACAGTCAGTCCTTGCCAAATAATATAATGATAATAAAGCAGTAGAAACACACACACGATGTTACTGTGCAATCTGCTTGTAATAAATGAAATATACATTAACTCAGTAGTAATTTAGTGACATGTTAATGTTTTCAATCATCAATCCAGCCATGCACTCCCCTCCCAAATGATCTTTCATAAAATTAGTATATTTATAGCATAAACAAGAATAAACTGAAGAGATAAAGGGGCTCAGAAATTAGAAGATGAGAGAATTATAGATCTTGAGAAAAAACAGTTCTCTAAGGTTCCTTTATTTGGAACTGTGTAGTTGGCCTCCTTGCAGCTGCGCTCTTTATGGAAGACTCCTAATTGAGCACGATGAGAATCTTTTCCTAGAAAGTGTTTGAGGAGTAAGTACCTAGTTCAGGGGTAGGTGACGTTCCATACTACAGATGTTGTGAATCACATCTTCCATATTGCCCTTACAGCCATAATGCTGGCAAAGCATCCAGAGTGGCAAAGGTTGCCTACCCCTAAACAGGTTTATCCCCAAAATAAGTTCTGCATACCACTGTTCTACAATCTGACCATCACCAACTGTCCATAACGCGACTGTTTTCGGTTTAAATTTGATGGTCAATTCGGAACAATTCCGAGTTTAGGGAATAATCCTGTTAGTATTTCAAGTAAAATCTCAAAGGTCCTCTCTCCGTCTGGTTGTTAATGGTTGAACACATATAGCAACACTAACATTTCACATTAATACAGACTTGGTAGGAGAACTATACCATGGGGTGAAACTGCAAACCTTTTACATCTTCTGTCATGACTTGTGCCACTCACAATGGTTTGATGAAACACATGCTTATGCCCCACCTGTGTACAAATATTAACTTGGAAGACAGTTTCACACAGGCTTGTTCAGGTTTACTGGGGGTCTTTATACATTACGAAGGATCTTGACATGATCTTCTGTGCAGATTCTCCTACTGGGACCATTTGGACACAGATTCCCAAGATTCTTTTTTTTTTTTCCCCATTTTTCTTGAGTGAAATCTAAATTCTCTTGGCTAAATATTGCATCAGGGAATCAACAGCAAAATAAAGACAAATGTTGACACTCCAGGAGTTACGCAGATGATGAATGGAAAACCCTATAGTTTTAGTAACCCAGTGGCCACGTGACAGATGGCCTGTTTCGTAACACATGTAGTTCTAGCACGAACTCTATTATACATATTTATAGGATTCTATATGCATTGGATATGTGTTTCTACATATACATCACAACTTGTATGAATCTAACCTCCTTCTTTGCATTTTAAGTAGTTTTTTTAGGTTGTAAATAGGTTGAATGTCACATTTATAGCATTAGAACATGTTCTACTTATTTAGAATTGCAATAGGGATTTTTGTTTTTCATTAGGACTGTTAATGCAAACAGTTCACCAACATTTTTCTAAATTAATATTTTTTTTTTATTTTGAAATAAACTGCATTTGGATATGCTCTAAATAAATGTCAGTGCACTCGCAAATTATTTGTACACTGTAGGTACTGCTTTGTCTGTGTACAACAGTCGAAAAGGCAAATAAAGACATAACTAGCATAAGTAACTGGTAAGCCATCGCTCCATTGATATCAACTGTCAGTTACTGACTGAAGCCCTGAGCATCTCTGTACATTCATGCAAAGATTTTGGAAGATGCTGAGTAGATTGTACCATACTGGGTGCAGGGCTCTCCTTTTATTATATGATAACCTTAAATTTCTCTAGATTAATAGTGTATCTGCCTCTGTAAGTTCAATAAAAATCTAATGAGCTATTTAAAGGACCACTATAGTCAACCAGACCACTTCAGCTCAATGAAGTTGTCTGGGTGCCAGGTCCCCCAGGTTTTAACCCTGCAGCTGTAAACATAGCAGTTTTAGAGAATTGCAGGGTTAATCCAACCTCTAGTGGCTGTCTTCTGGACAGCCTCTTGAGGCACTTCCGCAACGCTCAATGCGAAAATCGCATTGAGCACGCAGAGCGTCCATAGGAAAGCATTGAGTAATGCTTTCCTATGGGCGGTTTGAATGCGCATTCAGCTCCACTCGGGAGCTGACGTCGGAGGAGGAGGAGAGGTCACCAGCGCCGAGGGAGCCAGGCACTGGATTAAGGTAAGTGGCTTAAGGGGTATTAACCCCTTCAGCCCAGCGGGAGGGGGGCCCTGAGAACTATGTAGTGCCAGGAAAACAAGTTTGTTTTCCTGGCACAATAGTGGACCTTTAATTAATAAAATCATGTGTTCTGTAAACCTGTAAAGCCAACCAGCGCTTGTATATCTTACATCAGGGGTAGGTGACCTTCGGCACCCCAGCAATGTTGCAGACTACGTCTCCCACAATGCACTTTCAGCCATAATTCTGGTAAAGCATCAGATAAGATGTCGTCCACTCGAGTGAGGGTTGCCTACCCCTGCCTTACATGAAGAGATATGTCTTACTCAAACTGTCTATGGTATCCTTTAAACTCCAGTGGCTCAAAGCCATAGGATTACACAGAGTTCCTGTGCGGCTGTCAGATTCGGTATAGAATAGTTTAATTTACCAGAACTAGCTGCCTGATATCCTATTTCTACAAAACAGAGCACAATAACAAGAACCCGAGAGGAATAAAGCTAATGTAAAAATAGCCCCAAATCAGAAGTGATTTACTGAAGCAGCACACGATTTAATTTTCAATCAGAACCTTTGGGAAAACAGATGACAAACATCCACATAGGTTCTAACTTCTCAGTGATCAGCTGATCAATAATAAGGCTGCTGCCTACTTAGAGAAGCTCCCTGGCTAATAGGAAGGCGATAGAATACAGACTATGAAATTCAACATGGAGTCACTGGCAGCTTTCACTTACAATATACTGACACATTGTTCTCCCTCCTCATAGGATCTTCTAATATACAGAAGTGATGGAAATTAACGTTCTCCTACTCACAATTCTGCTTGCACCAGTATACCGAACATCTTAAAGGGACAAAAGTTATTTAAATATTAATAAGTAAATATATTTTTAAAAAGACACTAAGCAGCATGTGCAATAAAGCTTGTTGTAGTGGTTAAGTTGTCCAGAGTCTATGGAGTTTGACAAAAAACAGGGCTTTCCATGGAACCTGGAGATTTCTCAGAGTAGCAGGTATGAAGCCAAAATGGGAGGGAGTCAGGTGGGGCTGACATGGGGATGTGCTAGGGAAGCAATCTGTGTTACTGATAACTTGCACGGTAGGGTCATTCCCTTAATACAGTGCATATGCGTGCTAGCACTGCTGAAGCCCTCACATATGAGCGTTAAGAATGAGTACTGTCCCATCTAATGTGGGAAAGATGACAAGGTATACTTTATAAAAGGCTGGTATTGGCTAGTGCTAAAGAATGGTTGTACGGAGTGCTTTAAAACACAGGACGGGAGTGTAGAATAACAACACATATTTTGATATTTTTATAGACAGTAATAACATCATCAGTTTTAATTAGTAAATACTAGGTTAGTTAAATACATAGTTACATCAGACTGTACTGCTATTTCCAAATGGATTTTAAAATGTATCTGTGTTAAGACCTGCAGTGGTTATGGTGTTGCGGTGTTCTGTTCCCTTTCCCAACAGCTGAGCATGAGTGATTATAGCTGCAGCAGGGAGTAGAGGAATAAGGTAGATGAAATGCAGTTCCAAGGTGATTCTTCCCAGCAAGTAGAATATCCCCCAAACATGAGCCTAGACTTCATGAAGGGTGTAACAGGAATGAAATTTATTGACACACACGGGCTTCTATGAGAAATCCTCCTGCAAGAGGACCTCCCACAGCAAACAAAGACAACAGCCAATCAACGTACAGATTTACAGTAATACACGCCCTCTCTCTGCCTGGGAGATATTGAGATAAGTTAAGGAATAAACCAATTATCTCCAGCCAGAGAGCACACAATTTCCCCAAAACTTAGAACACCCCTTTCCCCACAAGGTATCCCCACAAATTACATATCCCCTGATAGCACATATCTAAATTTCACCCAGATCGGTTCAGGGGTTCTGAAACAGTGTGGAGGGTCCCTTTTACCGACCACACACGCGGCTCCTGCCCAAAACAGTTCCATGAATTCAGCGTGTGCGGTCGGTCAATTCACAAATCTGTAAAAGCCGAACAAAAGTCCCGAAAGGATACCCCTGGCTCATAGCAGCGATTGCTCCCCTTGTCCGTTTGCATAGAACTACCGAACGGCGCTTCCCTGGCTGTTTGGGAAATACAAGAAGCCGGCGTTTTGGTAGTTTCAGCGGTGGTTCGCGAGGTTGAGTGTCCGATTTTAGTTCCAGACATTCGACGACCAAGTCCCGCTGACTCCTCTCGTGTGAACAAGATGGCCGCGGTTTTCTATTCCACGTGGCGTTCAGCTATACGAAAAACCCCAAAAAGCCCTGATAAGCGTACAACAAACCCCGAAAAACTTTAGTTGAAATAATTGCTATACTGAGCTGTTCCAATTAACCCCACTTCAAATATATAAAGATCAATGATAAATTCAAATTGAGGTGGTTTGAGAAAAGGGAGCAATCTCCCCAAAAAACCCAAAAAGCCCTGATAAGCGTACAACAAACCCCGAAAAACTTTAGTTGAAATAATTGCTATACTTGAAAAGCCGCCTTACCGGCGAAACGCGCGTGTTTTTTTTTTGGGAGATTGCTCAGTATAGCAATTATTTCAACTAAAGTTTTTCGGGGTTTGTTGTACGCTTATCAGGGCTTTTTCCCCCCGACTATTAGCTAACTCAGAATTTCAGCAGTAGCAGTTGCCCATGAAGGCACAGTTAGATGTTTTTTCTACCTACATAGACAGCAATCATCAGTTTCAGTTTCAGTAACAAGAAGTGATCTTTTCGATTAGAACATGAAGGAACTGTGCACAGTATACGCTTATCAAGGCGTCCTGCAGATTCACTTCTTAATTTATTTTTCTGGCTAGTTAGCTAATTTAGTGGGGTTTTCTTGAGGTAGGTAGTGGGGTTTTCTTGAGGTAGGTGCAGGGCCGTCTTTAACGCGGGGCAAACGGGGCAGCTGCCCCGGGCCCAGTTGCTCCTGGGGGCCCAGAGCAGCTGCTCTGTGGGCCCCGCGATTTGCGCAGGCCCTGCGGTGCGGCTCCCGCACACTGAGGAGGCTCCCCGGGTGGCCCATGCACTAAGGGCCACCCGGGGAGCATGTGTCAGCAGGGGCCCTGTCGGGCGCTGTGGCGCTTAAACAGCGCGACCGGGCCCCTCTTCCGGTTCTGCAGCCGGCTGGGAGGAAGTGACGTCACTTCCTCCCACCGGAGATAGCCGCGCGGGAGGAGGAAGGCAGGGAGGAGGGGAGTTCCAGAGGAGAATTCCCATCTGCCTCAGCCTGCCACTGGACCAGGGAAACCACCCTCCAGGAAAAGGTAAGAACCTGGAGGGTGGCTAAATGTATGTCAGTAGGTCTGTGTGTGTGTGTGTATGTCTGTGTGTGTGTGTCAGTGTGTGTGCGTCAGTATGTCTGTGTGTGTATGTCAGTGCGTGTGTGTGGTGTTGGTGTGTATGCCAGTATGTCTGTGTGTGTATGCCAGTATGTCTGTGTGTGTATGTGTGTGTCAGTATGTGTGTGTGTGTATGCCAGTATGTCGTGTATGTCATTGTATGTCTGTGTGTGTGTGTCAGTATTGTCTGTGTATGCCAGTATGTCTGTGTGTGTATGTGTGTGTGTGTGTCATGTGTGTGTGTGTATGCCAGTATGTCTGTGTGTGTATGCCAGTATGTCTGTGTGTGTGTGTTGCAGTATGTCTGTGTGTGTGTATGCCAGTATGTCTGTGTGTGTGTATGTCTGTGTGTGTGTGTGCCAGTATGTCTGTGTGTATGCCAGTATGTCTGTGTGTTGTGTGTCAGTATGTCTGCCAGGATATATTTGTGTGTCAGTGTATGTGTGTGTCAGTATGTATCTGTGAATGTTTTAATGTCTGTCTGTGTGTATGTGCCAGTACGTCTGTCTGTGTGTATGTCATTATGTCTGTGTGTGTGTGTGTCAGCATGTCTTTGTGTGTCAGTATGTCTGTGTGTGTATGTAAGTATGTCTGTGTGTATGTGTGTGTCAGTCAGTATGTCTGTCAGTGTATGTGTCTGTGTGTGTATGTGTGTCTGTGTGTGTATGTATGTCAGTATGTCTGCCAGGATATATTTGTATGTCAGTGTATGTGTGTGTCAGTATATATCTGTGAATGTTTAATGTCTGTCTGTATCAGCCATTACGTCTGTCTGTGTATATGTCAGTATGCCTGTGTGTATATGTCAGTATGCCTGTGTGTGTGTGTGTCAATGTGTCTGTCAGTGTATGTGTCTATGTGTTTTAGTATATCTGTCAGTGTATGTGTTTGTGTGTGTGTCAGTATATCTGTTAATGTATGTGTCTGTGTATGTATGTATGTCTGTGTGTGTGTCAGTATGTCTGCCAGTATATATTTGTGTGTAGTGACTTTGTGTGTCAGTATGTATCTGTGAATGTTTTAATGTCTGTCTGTGTGTGTATGTGCCAGTACGTCTGTCAGTGTGATTGCGGGTTGGACGTAATTGGGGGGTGAGGCAGTGGCAGGGACAGGGCCCATGGGGCCCAAGAAAATGCATTGCCCAGGGTCCTAATCATATTATAGACGGCCCTGGGTAGGTGCCCATGAAGGCACAGTTAGTTTTTTGCAATACTTCTTATAAAGTTACATTGGGAATTTAATTAATCTTTGTTCTTATCTACCTCTTACAGACAGCACATATATTGCACTGCAGCATAAGTTAATTGAAAGCATTAATTTGCAACAACTTAGTTAATCGAAATTACCAATTTATAACAATTTTAGATACTATCTAACTGCTGATTATTTGTCAAATGATTAATTTATAATAATCTGGACATTATAATCACTTATTTGTTGTGTATCTCTCATCTCTCTATATTCCTTTTTGGCATATTGAGAGTTTTATCATATTTATTTGTTTCTTTATCCTATTTTAATTATATAATTAAAAGTTAATTTTTAACCTCATCTATTCTATGGCAGTAGTTCTCTTTTCTTTTTTGAACTATTAAAGGGTTACTTTAGGCACCATAACAACTTCTGTTTGTTGAAGTCTTTATGGTGCAAAGACTCTGCACATGCAGTGTTTCTTCTTGATATACTGCCAGTAGAGGAAAATGTATTCATACTTATCGTAAATTTCCTTTCCTGGTCATAGGCCAGTGATGGCTCACCTTGACACCAGAAATTGTTTCTGGACTACATTTCCCTTGATGCGCAGCTAGCTTTTAGACTCTAAAAGCTAGCTGAGCATCAAGGGAAATGTAGTCCAGAAACAATTTATGGTGTCAAGATTAGCCATCACTGTCATAGGCCATGGCAGCACAGCAATGGGTAAGCTCCTCCCATCCCCAGGTAAACAGGAACCTAAATAAAATATAGGTATAAGTACCACCTTCTACCTTCTGGTCCTTAGTCCGAAGCTAAATCTCAAGGGAGGGATCTTTGTGCTGATATGGCCTATGACCAGCAAAGGAAAATTACTGTAATTATGAACAAATTTTTCCCTTTCCTGCCCATATCCATGGCAGCACAACATACATAATACCGAAGCATAGACTAAGGCAGGAAAGAAAAACTCACAGACACCATAATAATGCAAAACCGAATAGTGTATTTAAAATCACACGCCACAATCCATCAGCTGATGGCTTCTTTGGATGCTTGAAGTCCTTTCCTGGCTCAATTAGGTATAACAAAGAATCTCTTAGAAGAAGTTCATTTGGAGAGGTAAGAGGTCCAATATTTCTACCTCATTCTACCAAGTTCAACCTAATGCAAGAAGGATTATATCCTCATTCAGATGAAAAGGAGGTGTGAGATGTCTGAATTACGGAACTGTTCGTAGAATTACTCTTGATGAAAGAACGTGAATGGTTCAGATCTTAAAAGGGCTTGCAATTTGGATAGCCAAGGCTACTAGGAGAACTGTTTAAATAGTAAGGAGAGGAGGCGAGATTGAATCTAATGGTTCAAAGGGAGTTTATTTTAACGGTCTTATAACTAAAGGCAGTTCCTACGGAGGGTAAACTGGCTCTAAAGGAGGATACGCCATTTAAGATTAGTGAGCGCAGATAGAGCTGAAACATGTACCTCCAGGGTGATGTAGTTTAGCCCTTTCTCTAGACCTGCTTGAATGAATTCAAGAATGTTCTTCGTACATGGGTTATGAATGTCTGGGCCTTGATGTAGATGGAAGGAAGTTCCCATGAAGGTTCCAAGCAGTGGCTCTGTGGAAGTGGAAACCACTGTCTGCGAGGCCAGAACAGAAAAGAGCTATTAGGATGACACCCACGGTTTACTTGCAAAGTCCACTCTGAAATAGAGCTGGAAGGAGAGATGGGGGAAAGGCATAACCCAGAACAAAGTTCCATTTGCTGGATAGTTGCCTCTTCCTATAGCTTGTGGATCGAACATCCTGGAAAAGTATGTTGGTACCTTGTTGTTCTTGTAGCTGGCCATTAGATCTATCTGAGGCTGCCCCCACCTGTTTACTATGTCTTAGAAGATCTCTTGTGACAATAACCATTCCCCTCGGTCTATCTTTACTTGGCTCAGGAAATTGGTTACAGAGCTGTCTGGACCCGGAAGATGAACAACTACTAATCCCTGGAGATTTGTTTGAGCCAAGGACATCATAGGTTTCAGAATCTTCATCAGGTTGTAACTCTTTGGTACCTCACTGATTAATTATACAGGCTACAACCGTGGCATTTTCTACCTGGACGTTCACCCATTTCTGGTACAGGACATGACAAAAGTCTTTTAGGGCCTTGAATACTGCCAATACTTCGAGGATGTTCGAAGGAAAGTCCTTTGCTGAGGTTTTCCACTGTCCCTGGGCTATCTGATCCTGTAGATGAAATCCCCTGTATATATTCTTGTTGGACAACCACCACTGGAGAGAATTATGGACTTTTTGGGGAATCTTGACTAGCTGGTGATGGTTTCCTGACTTTAATTGCTTTAGGAAATTATCTTGCAGATTCATCATCCTTCATTGAGCCCACTTTGTCATTTCTATTGTGGAGGACATTGATCCCAGAAGACTCATGATGTTCTCTGCTCTAGTTACATTGGAAGCCAATATCTCTTTGGCTTTTTCTTTCAGACATTTTCCTCTGTCTTTGGAAAGGCGTACGTCGCCTTGTAATATATCGGAGAGGGCTCCCAAGTAAATAATCTCCTGAGGCTGTGTCAGTTGGCTTTTGATTATATTGATCTTTCAACTATGTTCTGAAAGCGTTTTAAGCAGATATAGCCGTGAGATATAAGGGACTATATTTGTTGTCTGACAGGATCAAAATGTTATCCAGATAATGAAAGCTCTTCAATTCTGCAATAAGGACAACCATAACTTCTGAGAATGTCCAAGGAACAGGGATTAGTCAGAAGGGAAGAGTTTGAAATTGATAGTGCCCTTCCTCAACAGTAAACCGTAAAAACATTTGGTGTTAAAACTTTTGGTGTTGCTTGTCTAAAGACACAAGACTATCCTAGCTGTAAGATAAGGCAAGGGACTAATGAAAGTATGTAGAAAATTGGGCAGACTAGATGGGCTGGATGAGTCTAGTGATTCAGGAGAAGGCGGAGTTTCTTCTTCCAAAGTATAGGTGTCTTGAAAAGACTGCACTTACATGTCTGAGTCTAAGGAATTCGCCGTAGGCCAAACTGGGTTTTAGAATCTGGGCCTTTTGCGTTACTGACTGACCTATTTAATACCCTGGGACACTGCTTGTTTGATAATTCCCATGATATCTTGTGTAGAGGTGGAAGGAACTGCTGCTGCCCCTGGAACATGAAACATAAAAAGCAGAAAGGTACAAATTATATCCAGAAAGTGGTAATGTTGTATAATCATCAGGTTTCTTCAGGAATCTTATAATTCTGGTAGGAAAGGGTAGTCCGCGGGTGTTATACTTGCTACCAGAAAGTTGTCCCCGGTCACTAAAGAGGTTCCTTCAGGTTAGGGACGTTTGCGCAGGGCCATTGTCCTGAAGCTTCCTAAGAGCAAGGGGTAGAAACCCCCAAGAAAGAAAAAAACAAACAAAAAAAAAACCTGCCTATGGGGAAGCATTGGATTAGCTGAGATCATCAAGATTTATAATCACAGTCACTGAAGCAGGATGGAAATCAGCGCAACGATCGAGTAAAGGTAAGTAAATCTTACCTTGTTAATGCACATGGGCATGAACCGTAAGTAAGCAGTAGGATTACATGCCTAAAACTATAGTGTTCCTTTAATGCAATGAAAGACCAGGAAAAACAACCTGGAGTGTGTTGATTCTGGTCTTAAAGTTTAAAAGCATATAGCCAAGTACCAAAAAGATTTTAGTGAGCCCAAACACCATACAAGTCTCCACAGTGCATTTATTTTTAGAACATAATTTTGTGAAATAAAGACGAATTATAACTATTATATCAATGGTTAGCCATTGTTAAGCCACATTTTTGGCAAAACGCATTTTGCCGAATTAGAACGAAAGGAGGCTAATAGAAAGCAGTAGAGACTGCAGCAAACCGGCAAAGCAGAGTAACACAAACTTTGCGCTACACACCTAAATGCTGAATCAGGGAACAGCAGAGGTACCTGGAAGTCATTAGGAACTGTACCTATAATATGCTGGTAACTATTATGAAAGTGTGAGAGTTCATTTTTAAAATTGTATGTGAAAGTTTTAATAAATATTGTGAAGTCTTTAACGTCACTACAGTATCAGTGGTACTATTTGTCCTTCCCTCATTATTCCATTGTATTTTGTAGTGCTTAAAGATGGATGGTGTTTTAACAAAAACTGTTAAGATTATTATTACCAGAAACAGATTTTTTTTTATTCACAGAGCAAGGTCATTTTGTGTTTAGTCAGAGCGCAGGCCCTATTCATGATTAGATGTATAACAATTTGTAGCTGACTTGCGCACAACCCTATATAGTATTATTATTCACTTGCTCAATGGAAATGCATTCATCACATCTAATCATATTAGATACATTAGCCATTGATATAATAAATGCTTCCTACCTGACTACGGTAATTTAAACTGGATTCTATTCAAATGTACATCTAAACCTGAAAAAAAAGCAGGTGCACAAAAAATGAAAAATATTATTACTTTATCTGTATAAATGTACCAAATCTGTCACCTTCTGAATTTTTTTTTTTTTTTTTTAACCACGTCAAGTATCTGGACATTTAACAGGATATGTTTGGGCTATTATCCATGAAAATACTTTCTAAAAACACTGTAGTACATCAATCCATTCAAATGTGATATAAAAGTTGTTGTTCTTCATAAATATACTGACACCAATAGGATTGTGTTTTGGCATTTGATACAAAAATAAAAATATAGGAGACTAATGTATTAACTGTAGTGTCTTTTTCTTATTATTCTTATCCGTCGGGTGTTGATATTGTATTCCTACTTGTTGCCCAGTTTGGTCCATGTTCTGTACAACCTTTTTCTTTTTGCGTCATATGTATGTAAAGACGTCCTTTAAAATGTATTGGAGGAATGGGGTACACATTGTATGCACATGTTTGCAGCAATCCACCAAGCTAAAGGCAGACATGAGGTCACTGCAGAACTTACCTGTAGAGGGAGATGCAGTTAATACTACAAGCAAGCACAGTGACCTGAAGGTGGACACGGTGCTTATAAAAAGGTCCCATCAAGTCTAGAGGGGAAACTGGTTAACAGGGAGGGCAGTGCAAGACAGAGGAACCTCTGGATATGAGGTTACTTCATACTACAAGAAGTGGTACTCCATGTTTGAAACACTAATTTCCCCCACTGTCTCCCCTAAAAAACGGTACCAGTATTGACTGTCACTTTGGTACAGCCAAGTCTTTGAAGACTCCCACTCTGGTACCTAGAAAAAGGAGGTGAGATTCCAAACAGGGAGACAAGTATTTACCGATCTCTACTTTACAGGACTTACTATGCAACAAAGTTGAAACCTGTAAAGCAGTCTTGGACGATATTTCTCATTCCACAATAACTGGAGGCACCAACAGGTAGATCCCCAGATGTTGTGGAATTACAACTCCCATGATGCTTTGCATGCCTTTAGAATGACAAAGCATCATGGGAGTTATAGTTCTACAATATCTGGGGATCTACCTGTTGGGCAGCCCTGCTTTAGAAGAAGCAAGTTATCCCTACAGGTGGGGCCTGGAAAGCAAAACAGTCCATGAAGAAAGACACTACCACCTTACCAATATGTCTGGGATCAGCAAATTTACTCAAGCACAGAGGATCACAATCATGGACGTGGACTCTTGGCTAGACTAGTTCAGGCCGCAACACCCAACACACTGTATAGGACTGCAGCAACTTAAACACCAGTTTATGTGTCCTCAGTTCCTTAAAGTAATTCAGCTTTCTGGGCATGTTTATTTTTTATGTTTGTGCTTAATAACTGAACTTTGCATACAGGGCCCATAGTCCTGAGTATGTAGTCACCAACCTATGTTTGATTAGAGTCTATCTTTGTCGCATAGGGGAGCTCACACTCCATTTTAAATGCATAGTACTAGGTATGTTTATCACCATGTAATAAAAGCTTTGTTTTCAGATTAATCTGTTAAATTATAAGCATCTCTTACAGTTAAGCAATAACTATATAACTACATAATACTTACCAATTAATGCACTTTCTCTACTCATATCATTCTAAGACTCTTCCTGTAAGCAAAACAGCATCGTAAGTTCTAGCCTTAATGGAAAACTAGCATGATCTTTTATCATTTAAAACTAGCATGATCTTTTATCATTTAAAACTAGCATGATCTTTTATCATTTAAAACTAGCATGATCTTTGATTATTTAAAACATCGATAGCCTCACACACGGATGCTGCTACTCACTTATGTGTCTTTCAGGAGAAAACTCAGTAATGTTTCCTAGTGAGGGTGAAAAATGCAAATACAAAGACAAAAAACTTTTACAATGCTTCAATATTATGTGTGAAAAGCAAAGCAAAAGACTAAAAAGGAAAAAAAGGAGAGGAACTTAAGGGAGGTGAAGAAAGTAAGGGGGGCATCAGCCTAAAGTGAAAGGAGTTACTGAGAGATCCGTCTACATAATTTTAGGCTGTTAAAACAAAAAAAGGTGTTGTGCCATTTTGTATTGTAATTGGTCTGTAATGAACCAGATTTTTCGACGTGATATTCCAAAGAGAAAGGATAGAATTTTGGCACAGTTTAACAATCGTTAAGCAGCAGTGCAGATACGATGGGTCAAGCATAGGGGGACACAGCTAGTTTGTAATCAAAGTAGTTGATAATAAGTAGGGCCACTTTTGGATCCGTGTTCAATTATAAAAAAAAAATGCATCAATTTCACCACAGCTGCAAGGGCAGGGTTAGGCATTCTTTGGCACTTCAGATAGACTACATCTCCTATAATGCGTTGCCATCATAATGGCTGTAAGACCATTATGGAGTGCTGTAGGTTGCTTACACCTGCCCTAGGGCATAAGCCTGAGGAGATAATTCGATGTACTGAAGTTTTTTCAGGTTTCGGTTAAACCATTAAAGGAACACTAGAACATTAGAAATGGTGACTAGGACCTTTAGTGGTCCTTTAATGCATTTTCTTTAATCATGGCACAGAAAGTGATTTTACACACGTGTAATAATGCTTTCCATGTGTGTGCGCGCATCTTTTTTTTTTTCTTTCTTTTTTTTTTTAAATGTGAGAATAAACTATAAAATGCTTTTGAAAATAAAGAAATATACATGTTTTATTTTAACTGTGCACCTACTATTGTAAAGATATACTTTTTACTCTCCCCATAAAACCATTACCGCAGCAAGACAACATTCCATTTGCTTATTTTTCCATTTATTTCAAAGAACGTTATAAAGAATGTTTTGTGATATAGCAAAGTATACTACGATAATTCGGGGTTTTCATTTTTCAAACTTTAAAATAAATGCAATGCCACACAAATTCAATTTAAAAGAAACTTTTTTTTTTTTAATTATTTATAAATGCAGTTATATACATAGAACAATTAAAATTAAATTACTTTGTACAAATATTAAAATATGATCTTCAGCCCCAAAGCAATGTCCACGGTGACAGTCAGAGGGAGGAAAACAAACCAAAATAAAGCAATGGTTTACTTAGGATGCATCACTCTGCAAATGCAAAGGTTACTAGTTATGTGCACAGGCATACATTATGCCATACTTATTCTAATGCATGTGCAGGCTGCTACAAGGCAGATAAGAGGTTAGAATACCATCACGTTACTCTTAACGTACCAGTATATTATGCAGATGCGTAAACCAGGTACATGCCATTGAATGCGCAGCCTCTCTGGGTGGGGGTACAAATTCACATCACCTATATATGTGAACGAGCGATGTTGGAACCCAACACAAAACAGATATAAAAACACAAAATAAAGCAAAGCATTTGTTACAGTCACCGAGGCGCCTGTGAGATGATATTTACAAATCAATGAATGGCGGTGATGTTTAAAACACTTGGCTTGTATCACAGCCTTTTGTAAAATGTTCCAGAATATATTGCACATCAGATTTTGTGAGACTGTTTAACAAAAAAAAAAATTTAAAAAAAGGTAACAATCTGGCATAATGAAATCAAAAAGAACAAGGACATCCTGTTGCTCATTTGAAACATTTTTCTGTCTTCATTAAAACTTTATATAATTTGTCACACATATGGATTAAGGTCACTGCTACAGTAGAGTCATCTCTTTACTGTCAGAATTTATATGAAAAAGAAAACCGGAGAGTGGAAAGCCTAAAAACCCAAAACATGGAAATGTATACATATACACATACACACACACACACACACGTGTATATATATATATATATATATATATATATATATTATATATATATATATATATATATATATATATACATATATATATATACACACACACACACGCGTGTGCTCCTTGTGTGCCCGTTTGCTTCAACTTGTTTCCATTTAGTATATTATATAACAGACCAATTAATTTTTAACAATGCTTCTTTAATAATGCTTCTACTGCCCCTCCCCATACCTTTCTGTACTCCTCCCTTCATTCAGCACGCAAAAGCCATTTAAAAAAAAAATAAAAAAAATCACACAAACACACCTGAAAGTAGAGAGGAGAAGCTTAGAAAAGGTGAACACAATGGACGTAACCCTTATTTTTAACCTCACAGGCTAGGTTACTCAATATTTAATGGGTTTAATACTATGTGGAAACAATATCAAAACACACAGATTTCAGCCAATTGTAAAATTCACACCACTCTCCATCAGAGTGGAATCAGGCTCTCTCCTGGTATGTATACAAACATCCAATAAATCATTCCAAACAGGAGCCATCAACCACATGATTCACAAATGACAAGCGTAAAATAAACCAGTAAATCTACTGTCCATAAAGTTTCCAAGATCAAAGTATGGGAGGTATGTTACCCTCTGAATACATTTTCCATTGCTTGTATCACTCTTAACCCAGCAAAGAGTACTTACTGTCCAAATCTTAATTTTGGACAACAAAACATCTATATCCAACCAAGTGGTCTTCATATTATAATATAAATTTGTTTATTAGATTGTGGGACTTTGACGTGGGTCTCTTACTTGGGAAAAAATGTGGCTACGCAGTTCACCTGAGAACCATAGTGTCAGCCTGAGTATAAAAACCTTGAATGGGAATATCAAGGAATCGCCATTGTCAGAGTCTGCCTTGTGAAAGTTGGATATTACCTGAACAGCAGCTGAACATTTTGATCAATGGGCCAGCCAAAGGTAGCAAAATTATTCTGAAAGGATAAATGCTAGGCAATATTAGTACAAGCCACACTTACAGAGTTTTATATTTTTGTACATATATACACACACACACATCTGTATATAACCTATAATGAAACAAATACACATCAAATATAGTTTTACACCTCTGTAAGTGGGGCCCCACAGTGCCTGCTTTTCAGTGATTGGTGAGTGTGGCTCATAAGGTGTGCTCCACAGTTTAAGCGGGGACTAGACGGTCTGCTCCTCACTAGGGCTGGTGAGAGAAACAGAGAGGCACAAACTGTAAGCTCCAGGTCACCTGTGAACACAGGTGGAGCAGAGAAGGAGGTTTGAGGTGATCCTTCAGGGCTGAGTGAAGAGTCTACAGAAATCAGGCTTCTTTCAGAAGAGGGATATCTGTGGAGAAAGAACACAGAAAGAAACTCAGATCGGAATCACTGCATGTTTGAATAGCACTAGCAGAGAGAAATCAAATTACCGCATTATACAAAGCAGTGCAAACACACTCAAATACATAAAATACACAGAAGTCAGTACGAATTAGGCACAGAAAGTAAAAACATAGCACACAAAAACTAGGTGGTATTTTTCACGTACTGCATCTTTCCCTCTTTCGCCTGCACATACTACACTGCGTTACGCTCCTTGATACATCAATTACTGCCCTATTGTCTGCTGACTGCGCAAGAGCAATTCTTCCTGTCATCTACATATACGATGGGGTTTACTCACTAAACCAGAATTTGTGAAGAAATGACGAGAGACAAATTAGAAACTTTTTGGGCAAAATAACCCTTTTTCGCTTCAGTTATTTTGGCCTAACATTTTGTATTGTGGCTCTTGGTCACTGGACAATTACAGGTTTAGTGAACTCCAGTGTGTGCTTGTGCAAATCCTGTAATCTTGAACTCACAACCAGCAAAACCAATCACAGAAAACACAGTGAAGAAAGACTTTCTATAAAAATAAGCCATCCTAAATACAGCAGACATTTCATAGACAGACTTGAGAACGAGAACACACAGGAGACTGAGAAAAGGGACATTAGGAAATAACCATGACCGTTTTAGGAGCCACTGTTACTTGGGTTTGTTGAGTGCTGGTGTAAGAAAATGAACACCGTACAAGAACAAATTAACAGCAGTGTTTTGTGCATTGCCCCAATGATTACCAGATAATGTGAACAACCCAGAAACTGTTTAAGGCATGCACTGTACTAATAAGCGTAAACACAAAGCTGTACGGACATTACACACAATGTGTTGTTTCACACAGGCCATTGAGTGATAGGAGACAAATCCTAGGGAAATGCAGAAAGCGACAATGCACTGCATGGATCACTAGTTAAAACAGAAAGGAAACCACACATAAGCCACTAGCATGTTTTGAACCTTGCTGCCAAACTCGAGCCATATTAGCAAGACGATACATGCACATAAAGAGGTTTCATTTAGAAGGTTTGTGGAACATTACAATTCTAATATATAAATCGAAGTTGAATATTAAAGGACCACTATAGTGCCAGGAAAACATACTCGTTTTCCTGGCACTATAGTGCCCTGAGGGTGCCCCCACCCTCAGGGACCCCCTCCAGCCCGGCTCTGGAAAGAGGAAAAGGGGTAAAACTTACCTTTCTCCAGCGCCGGGCGGGGAGCTCTCTGCCTCCGATCCTACTCCTCTCCTCCCCGTCGGCTGAATGCGCACGCGCGGCAAGAGCTGCGCGCGCATTCAGCCGATCGCATAGGAAAGCATTATCAAGCATTTTCACAGTGAGAATCACGCAAGCGCCTCTAGCGGCTGTCAATGAGACAGCCGCTAGAGGAATTGGAGGAAGGTTTAACCCATTAAGCTGAAGTGGTCTAGGTGCC